CTGTATGCCTTTGCCGAGTAAAAATGGAGCGCGAGGGCAAACTTGCGCACATCCTCTGTACATGCGTTTTTGTTGCGCCTGACTCTTTTTAAGACGAGGTTGCGCATTGTGTTGGTGAATGCATTGTCAAGTATGTCAACTGCTGGCTTAGGAAGTCGTTTCCTCAGTTCACGGAGCAGCGTGTTCAGCTTCCTAATCCTGGCCGTCTTCCGATTGATCTTCTTCTTTGCCTGTTTCAACAGTTTCCTCGCCTTCTGCAGCTTTTGCCTGCTCGTGGCCAGGACCCTGTGCAGTCGTGGTGACACAGCTGCGTACGAGTGGTCACCGAAGGAAGTGTTGCGTCGCTTGAACACAGCTTCAGGGGGAGTCTCTGACGTCGTAGCCTGAGAGGGGGAAGTAACAAGCTCCAGTTTTCAGGTACTTCGGGCGACTAGTTGCACAACTTGCAAAGGTGTGTCTCTTGTATCTGAAAGTGGTGGTCAACGAATCACTAGAAAAGTGGCATCTTTGGGATCAAGTTGATAGGTTCGAGTAAAACATTCAGGTTCTTTGCAACACTTTCAACCACCACCATTATAATAATTCCATGGCATGCTGTATGCTTTTTACAATCATTCAATCATAAGTGGGTTACGTGTTTTCAGTATATACTGATATACATAAAAATATGACCTCCAAACGATTTTTCTTGAAATCTGCAAAAACCGAAAGAACCCGAATTGAGCTTGCGTTGAAGAGAAATTGCACTTTCCACGGCAGGGAACCTTGATAAACGTCTGTACTTTTGTTGAACCACAACACCGACCGCACTGAACTGTCTGCGAGGGTGCTCTTTTTCTTCGGAAATTGTTTTTATGTGCTCCATTTAGCAATGAGTAGTGCATATCATGTTGTGTCTCCTAGAAACGCCACAGATATGCATTTGCTTTTACCACATAAGTACCGTGACACTCCGAGTTTTAGTCGATATCAAAAAAAGACACTGATAAGCTCAAAATTCGAGAGAACAAATAAGCACCAAAAAATCACCCCCATTTTTAAAAAAATAAAACTACGAGAGCACCTCACCTTTCTTTCATGATGTGAGAATGCGTGAGCATTACCTATGGCCGAGTTATATTGACGTCAATGAGCAAGGTTGACCCAATGAATAGCACACTAGTTTTGCGATCATGAGAGCCTAGGTTCGAAACCGGGCAGGGGATAATTTATTTCTAGGTTTATTTTTTGTTCGATCACGTGATTAATAATTAAGTCACATGACGAAAATGATAACGTGAGCACAGCTGTTTGTTTTTCTCTTATTTTCTTTTTCCTTAGATTGCGTCGCATTGGTCACGGCATTTGGACACAACTTTTGGTTACAGCTTTTGGCTGCACCCTTTGATCACGGCTCTTCTTTTGCTCACAAATTAAAAAACACCCAAAACATGGAACCCTATTCATAAGCCAGAACTCCCAGCACCCCCTTTTTGTGGGTCAGTGCCAGTCCTGGCCAACGCATAAAAGGTGTGGTCACATATCACACTGCACAGTATAACCTGCCAAGAATGCATGCCCTGGCACACAGTCTTGTGGAATACAGGCAGTCTTGAATGTCACCGCTCGTTGTTCTGCTGACAGGTCTCACCCTCCAGAGAGGCAGCCTGGATCGACGACTGATCAGCCAACCCCAGGAGAGGCCCAAGCTGCTGCTGGTTCTGGAAGCAATGTAAAGCTGGTTACTTCCCCCTCTCGGGCTACGACGTCAGAGACTCCCCCTGAAGCTGTGTTCAAGCGACGCAACACTTCCTTCGGTGACCACTCGTACGCAGCTGTGTCACCACGACTGCACAGGGTCCTGGCCACGAGTAGGCAAAAGCTGCAGAAGGCGAGGAAACTGTTGAAACAGGCAAAGAAGATCAATCGGAAGACGGCCAGGATTAGGAAGCTGAACACGCTGCTCCGTGAACTGAGGAAACAACTTCCTAAGCCAGCAGTTGACATACTTGACAATGCATTCACCAACACAATGCGCAACCTCGTCTTAAAAAGAGTCAGGCGCAACAAAAACGCATGTACAGAGGATGTGCGCAAGTTTGCCCTCGCGCTCCATTTTTACTCGGCAAAGGCATACAGCTTTCTGCGAAAGCACGTCAAGCTACCACACCCAAGCACTCAGCGGAAATGGGCAGCGGTGGTTGATGCACGACCAGGACCAGGATGCACGACCAGCGGCGTCGGGGCTACAGCGGCTCGGCAACTCGCTGGACCTGCGGGAGTTACGTGAGCAAAGGCGACACGACCTGCAAATGGGTGCACAAGAGCATCCCGAAGCTTGCTTCCAGAGAGGGTGCGACGTCGTCAAGGAAGTGACTAGCTGGGGAACTACCTGCGCAAGAAGGATGGAATTTTGCTTTCTGGCACTCCTCGACGGCCCCCAGGGACCGACAAGACTGCGAGTGCGACCACATCTCTAGGAATCGGGGTGCGACACCGGTCTCATTGGAGTGCACATGTGCGTCAGAAGAGCTTGGAGCTCTGCTCAGCCTCGTCTTGCGTGCACCAGGGAGGCTGCTAGCTTAGCGTCCCTCCAGTACGCTGCTGGACAACCGACGTGAGCCGCCTCTTGTATGTACCGAGCGACGCCAGGGCTGCAGTGGCTCGGCAACTCACTGAACCTGCGGGAGTTACGTGAGGAAAGGCGACACGACCTGCGAATGGGTGCACAAGGGCGGAGGGGTCCCGCAAAGCTTGCTTTATGAAAGAGTGAAACATAGTCTTCAAGTGCATGCCTAGCTCGGGAACTACCTGCGCAACGGGAATGGAATTCCGCTCTCCGAGTGTAATAAAGTGACTTGCGCACTGAACGTGACCCTATTCACTACTATTATCAGGCGCTGTGTCTAAAGATAGGTCTGACGTACCTAGGATGCAAAATCTAAAGATACGTCAGACGTACCCAGGACGCGGAGTCTGTGTCGGGTGTCCTAGCGTGGGCAGTCGGACTGCGGCCGGACGCTCCCGCTGGTGTATTTACAGCAGTCCGAAAGCGTTCCACGCTTGCGTCTTATCGACCTTGCACAAGTGGCTGGCAGCCGCTTGGCCTGGCTGCCGTGTGATACACAGGCGTGTGCCTGTCGTGTGTAAAAACGCGTGGAGTGCCAAGAAAATCAAACATTGTGTCTAACAAACTAGTGATTTCAAATTCCCCGACTTTTTCAAGTTTTTCCCTGACTATTTTGATCAAATTCCTTGAGTTTTTGAGTCGAAGGATGACATTTCGGCAATGTCATTCAGCATGGCCGTGCCGACGAGCAACCGCCATGCCGCTTTCACTAGTCGTCTTCCCTTATTTAGCCCACTTTTTGAATGATTCCCTGACTTTCCCAGATGATCCGAAATTCCCTGGGAGTTCAAGGCTTTCCAGGTTGGCAGACACCTTTTGAAATTTCGGCACGCGTTTGCGGGGTTTAGTGATCGGGAAGCTGCTCGAGAACAACATAACTATAAGAGAAGCTGGTACAGTACTGCTTACACGACTGTCGCCCCTTCACAGAAGGAAGGCGGCCGGGAGCCGCCGTCCGCCCGGAGTGACCGCCGTCGGTCTTTTTCACGTCACTACGGATCACATAGTGAAGTGGTCCGTAGTTAGCTCAGCACCGAGCAGTTCGGAGATTTCAACACTTCTCTCGCTGCTTCAAATGCGAATCTTGACGGTCGAGCTAAGAAAATTGCCCGGGCACGTCCGCCGTACCGTTAGAACTCCGCGTTCTGGTTACGTCCTACATACCTTTAGACTCCGCGTTCCGGATGGGTTCGACGTATCCTTCGACTCAGCGATTATGGAGGAGCTCCCGTGGTTAACGATTGCGGATATTTTAATTAAACTCGAACGACCGAGCGATGTCCGAGGTAGTGATCCGAGCCCGTACGAGAAGCACGGGACCGAATCTGGCTTACTCTGAATTAAATAAAAAAGAAAAGCCTCATTCCCTCCTACTTCACGTTATTCCTACGCGGGGAGCATACAAAACCCTGAAAAACCGAATTCCGCACACGAAATCCACGCACTCCGATCAACGCCCACAACGCTTCCGACACGCACTGGGCGCTGCCATCTTATCGTTGACGCCAGAGATTTGGTCTGGTTACGTCATAGATTTGGCCTGGTCACGTGTCTAGTGGTCAAAATTGTTCAACATGGCGGCGGTCAATTGGGGGTCACTTTCAGCTGCCAGTTTATCACTCTAATGCCCTATACCTCGTTGAGCGGCGTAGACTTTCCATTTCCCCGGGGGAAGAAGGGGGGCAGGCTGAAATGGCTGAAAAGTTCTTTGGGAGGAGGGGGGGAGGGTTGTGCTTTAACTTCTTGTCAGAACTGGAGATTGAAGCTAACGAAAGGCACGCTGGTTTTAAATTTCCCATGTTCTGTCAATAAAGGCAAAGTGGGCGCTATTTTATTTACATGCCACTACTAGAAGCTCGTTACATGGCACGTAAACAGCGTCTCGGTAAGGATCATGGCCCGGACCCGGGGGGGAGGGGGGGGGGGGGGGGCTCTGCCCCCCCTGGATTTGACCAGGGGGGGCACGTCAGTGACGAATGCAAGGATCGGTATCTATTACCGATAAACAGTGGCGTAGCCAGGGGGGAGGCCTATGGGGATTCAGCCTCCTCCTCCTCCTTCCCTGCCTCTCTCCCTCCAGGCACGTAGGCAGGGGGGGGGGGGGGGGGGGCCCGGGTTCCCCCAAAATCTTCTATTTTGCTGGGACCTCCTCTCCCCCTCCCCCTCATACAGCATTTTGCCATGGGCGCCCCCCCCCCCCCCCCTCCCCCGAAACAAAATCCTGGCTACGTGCCTGCCTGCCTCCCTCCCTTCCCCCCCTCCCCCCCAGATCCAGCCAACCCCATACAAACAGATGCAAAAAAAAATCCTGGCTACGCTACTACCGATAACTGGAGTACAGTTGTCATTTCGCCAAATCTACTGATGCACCAAACCTCCAGCGTAACAGAAGTATAATGCATAATAGAACTTTTATTTAATCCATGCGTTTGCACGAATTAGCAGTTCACATGTTGCCTTTCACACAAATTTTATTCCAATCACCTAGAAAATATAAAAGAATCTCTCCCCCCCAAAAAAAACAATTTATATATTATTTCACTTCGTGCAAGCCAGCACACGCAAGAAGAAAATGCTCAAAAACAAAAAGAAAGACACGGTACCCCCGAACAAGGGTTAAATGTCAAAACCAAATGAACACATTTAGCTTCATCGTGGTTCTCTCCTTAAGTTAGCCTTCAAACCTATTTACACAACATGCTCTTCGACATCGTCTGCGGGGCTTTGCGCCGAGATGTAGAAAAAAACGATAGGGCCAGCAGTGCATGTGTCTACCAAAACTACAGAACGCGAAATTGATGCCCATCTAAAACGTGGTCGAGGACAGCGTGGCCGTAGCCCTCGCTTCGCGCCGTCGGTTTCACGCCGGCTGATGTTTCCAACAACGAACAACGTGTGCGGTTCTCAGTTCCCCCACCGTCGACGCCACGTGCAGAAATTTCACACCTTCGCTGGAGCGAATGTGCTCCTCACAAGGCAAAAGTCTGCTTTGCATCAAGGAAATCGTAGTATTACATTATTTTAAGCAAAAACCTATAGAAAAGTGTGATGCTCAGTGACATCCCACAAGATTCCCTCGGCAAGTTAACGGGCGTACAAACGGCGAGGTGTCATAAAGCAACCGTTGCACCGATAAAGGTGTGAAACCCCTTCAAAGCGGGAATCGCCAACAGTTGCACCCCCACCCCTCCACAGAAAGAGACAACCTCAAGTGTCTTTTGTCTTTGAGAGTTCTTTTTTTTTTTTTTTTCCTTTTTATATTTATGTATAATAATGTACAAGCAGTTTTCCACAATCATCCTCCTGTGAAAATCCATTTCTAAGAAAAAAAAAAGAAAAAGACTGACGAGCAAAACGGGTGCTTATTTACACGAGGGGGAGGGGCGGAGACCGCAACGCAACCAACGAGAAGGTGACTGTATTTCAGCTGTCATCAGGCACGTATCCGGGACAGCTGGGTCAGCTTGTCGCAAGAGGGCATGTGGTAGCTCTGGGCACGCTCTTCCAAGCTGGCGTCGCGCAGGCTCTTGGCTCGCCAGAGCAGCGACTCTTCTGAAAAGACAAAACGCCAAAGCCGTCCCGTCTTCAGTGCCGGCAAAGAGTGCGCCCTCCCGTTTCGCGAAAAATTAAAACGCCCCTTTGATCTGTCGATCAAACACCCCATATACGTGTTACCCGACGTCACCCGACGTGGTCACGTTACGCCACGACACTAAACATTACTAGATCCAAAGACGTTATTGACACCACTACTTCAGATGCGAGTTCAGTGATGACCTGGCGTGCCCGACGAATGTCATGTGACCCATGGGGGCACCAGTTGTGTGACAACGAGAGCCACAGTGACACCAACCACGTGACCATGTGGCACCTCCAAATTCAGCCAACGACGTCACTTCCGCGTCGCTTACGTCGGCACAGTATGGCTGTGGTGATGGTTATACGAACCTCCATTTTGCTTCCATTTGGATGCCTTCTGCGCCAAAAAAATAACACTCCACCTCCCAAGCCGTTCTTCACAGTGTTGTCAAAGTCACAGCCACGAGTGTAGTTGAGAACATACACACAGGAGGCAAGCAATGACTCTTAAGTAGCAAGCTTGCCTGCCGCTTCTCAAAAGTGGCAGATGGCCGAGATAAGCGGACGGCTTTTACGTGTCTGGGTTGCCGAGTTTATTGGGGAAGAGATGTTTCGGTACTTATGTTGTTATTAGGATAACCCCATGTTTCATGGCGACAGTGTGCAGAGACAAGATTGTGCGCGGTGCCAGAGACGATGCTTTGGCAGGCGGGCGTTTGTGAAGTGTCTGGAACACAAATGGGCTTGTATCGCTTAGTCGTGAAATCTGTCAAGTACAACTTTGGCAGTGTGCAAGACACCTTGTGCGGTCACCAACCCTTTGTGTGCACCTCAGCACGCATTTTTCTGCAGAATGAACAGACAAGAGTGCACATGCTTTACAACGGTGGATTTCAGCCACACGCATCGGCGACCCCATCTGGATCGGCCAAATTGATAGGGGAACTTATCTGCCGGGGGGAAGGGGGCGGTATTGAGTGGTTGCAATCACAAAAGAGTAAATGAAGGAAACTGAGTGCATGCAAACCAACTTTGCAGCCCTGAAGCAGAGACTAATCAACCCTGCTCACTCAGTGCACATGGTTTTGGCCATATAGCTTTGTAAAACAGCCAACCTGAATAAAAAAAAAAAAAAACTAAAAAAACTTTAGTGATTGGTTTGACTGATGATTTAAGGCTTCAAGGACCCTAGAAGCCTTTCAGGGACCTCAAAGGATCCACCGAGGCCCATTTGAGAACCACTGCTTTACGAGTATCACTTCAGGCTTGGTTAACACAACACCCCCCCATACACAGACCTACAAACATAAATGTGGTGCAAACATTTCTGATTTGACGACCAGGTTATACTTGCAAAGCATTTTCGTTCCGACAGTTTCTTGGACCTCAATCCAAAAAACGCTCGATCTGCTCATAGCCTCGTGCTTTGGCGACACGTCTGGCGAGGACTTGGAACATCTATGAAAGAGAGCAACAGTTTCTGGGCACAGAGATTACCATCTCCCTAAAATAAAATCCTCAAAAAGGCCTCGACATGCGGGCCCAAATATTGCGGGCTGTTTTTCGGCAATAAGAAATGTTCGACGGACGCGGCACCTGTGCGAGATTTTGAGTATGGTACGAGAAGCGGCGGTGACGGCGACACTCGTGTTTGCTCGTACTTTTTTGCCCGAATCGCCAAGACCAAACGCCGAAATCGCGACATCCGACAGCAAAACATGCCGGCTCCCGTGGCTAGTCCAAGACGCGGTCCAGACACTGTGGTTCGAGTAAAGCAAAGCATGCGTCGCGGACAATGAGGAATTCTCGCTCACTGTAGTTCTTTTCCCGGAAGCAGGAGCTGCGGAGGTTGGCTATGTGGTCCGACTCCACCTCCATTTCGACCCGGTAGATGTTGCTTCTGTGCTCCTGCATGAAGTTCTCCTTCACAAAGTAGGAGAGCTCCAGATTGAGCGTCTTGCGTTCATACTGGTACTTCCTGCGGAGGGAAGGATCAAACGAAATGAGCCCTTCAAGCCACTGCAGTTTCGGCCAACATTCTTCAAGGGAAGCTGAAGAAGTTCTTGAGAAAAGAGAGTACAAAGGTGAATTTAAGAGTATTTTATCCCGTGAATCTGCATATCACATTTGTTTTCCCCGAAGGTGTACCTAAATGCGAGAAAACACAAAAAACATCCAACCAGTTGTTACGTCATAAAAGGCTCATAAAAAGCGCTATGTTTGTGCGGGCAGTGCGTGCATTTGTAAGCTTGCCAAGTATATTCCCCTGCACTGACACCAGTCGCATCAGCTTTTTCTGACCTTTTTGAAAATACCAAGAGTGCGCAAGCATAGCTTTGACAGGCACTGAAGATGCGCAAGAGCAGAGATTCCGAAAACTCCCAATATGACGTCGCGCTCTGGGAAGGAGGTGCTGCGGCGGCACTTTGAAGACTATTTTCTGCAGCCTCCGTGCACCGAATTGAAAAATAATACCGATAGTCGTGATCCTGAAGGCCAAATGAAGACAATTTAAGTGTTTTTACTCAAATACAGAAATGCTTCAGCTTCCCCAAATCCATCAGTTGTCAAGCTCCATGGAACAGCGTCGTTCAAAAATGATTCTTTTTCGTTTTCCACGCAAGAGCAGGTATGGGCGGATAGTGATCCTAGCGCCACCAAGGTTGCCACTCGTACGGGCAATGGAGAGTGATCATCTTCGAACTACTCTCTCTGCACAAACTTTATGTTCACGGTAAAAACCACAATAGAATCACTTTCCATCACGGGCATTGCACATCCAACATTCCACCTGTTCTGTTGCTCCTGTCCATATGCGCTCGGGGGGCTGATAGCGCAGCGAGTGCCACCGAGCGGACGCACCACGAGAAGGTGCCATGAGATCTAGGAAGCTCGACAAGCGACTCTGATCTCGTGACGTCTGTTTCGGTAACAGAAAGACGACAGCAAACAAGGGTGCAACAAATTGCTTTCCAACTTTATAAACTATCTTTTGAACAGACTTTTTATTTTTGAGAAATCTCCCAAATAAAAAATAAGACCCTTTTAAAAATTGTTGCCGGCAACCCTAAAACACCGTGTTTGACTGTTTTGGAAAGTACAAGAGGCAACACTGTGTATGGCAGGGGCGGATTTAAGGAGGAGGAGGAGGAGGGGGGGAAGGACCATGGAAGGGTTTAACATCACCTGCCTTCGACCCTAAAGGTAGCAAACCTTAAACAAATCTTTATACGGTATATATGTGAGTTGCACCCACATGGCAAGTAACAACCGAAGCCAAATCATGTAGTGGACAGCACATACAAAGATACTTAGGACATGATGTGTGACATGCAACAAGACGCATGTGTTTTTTCTCAAAGCATTTGTAGTGTGATTCTCTAAATCTGTATAATACTGTAATCGTTTTCCACAGAAAAAAAAAAAATCTTTCCTTTCACAGGCAACTACCAGCAAAGCGAAGAAAGCGAGGAACGAGTGTTGGTGCACTTACGCGGTCCTGACGAGGCTGTACGGCGGATCCGACACCAGGAAACTGGACATGAGCGACATCCCAACGAGAACAATGATCGGCATCATCTGCAGGAGCACACTGTAGCTGCTCTGCAAAGGCAACACAAACAAATAGGCTAGGACATAAATTTTTTCCAAAAAACAAATCAAAACAAAAATTTTAAATAGCAAAATACAACAACATAAAGAAGCATTTGAGATCAAATATGAAACATTGTTTTCACTGACATATCTCAAAAAGGAGGTGTGAAGGATCCATAGATGCACCAAACCAGATATGAATCACAACATCCTTTATTATCACCTGCCGTAACATTCCAAACAAGAATCCTTCCGCATGTTCACGTGCATACATAGAACCTGCTCATTGTAAAAACTGGTATGTTCTATTGTTGCCTTCTTCTTGTCTGCCCATCGTACAATAAATATATGGACATAGTGGAGCAAAGTTGAAATACACATGCAATGCTGGTGAAGGCATTGAGTGTCTTGATAATGCAAAGATACTAATATATGAAGACTTCCTTCTAAATAAGTTATCTTACTGCAGAAAAGTTCCATGGTACTATTTTAAGAATGAAACTATATCATTAGTGAGTTGCACCATGGAAACCACTTGTGTGGGAAGATTTCACTGAAACGAACAAATTTGACGATACAAAAATACCGTTTAACGAGTCGCCAAGCTCGGCGGACGGCTTTAATCGACAGTCCGATTGCAAACGACACTGCGGAACTAGAGTTCCGTGTTTTGGGGGTCTATTTTTCTGCAAACTCGGGGGTGTTTTTTTCCGGTTTTATATTTTTCATCTGATCCGGCATTTTTAATATAAACTTTTGGCGGACAAAAAAAAAAGTCAGGGTTTATCGCGGAATATGTAAAGAAAACAGAGGACGCAGACATGAGATTCTCCAACCTCCGAGGAACACATGCTTGACCCAAAATACTTGAAAAACGTTCCCGTACTGATTAGAAAAAGGAACATATAAGAGGCGCGGCACAATTGGAAAGAAAGAGAGAGCTTTGTGGACAGTATGGTTGGGGCAGTGTTCCAGGTAAGCGCAAAATAGAGTTGTAAATGAAGATTTCCTTCTCGTGAAGCCTGGGTTATTTGAACGCAGCTCCAATGCGGGGTTTTTCGGTCCCCTGATTTTAGTAAAATCGGCTCGCGGGTTAATTTTTGGGGTTTATTGGCATTTTCCGAAAACAGGGAACCTTAGACGCGATTGACGCGGTCGCCATTTATATCGCTGCACTCGGCCCATCAAAGGCTCATTGTCGAGCGACGTTTGAGGGCAAGATGTGAAGGGCAACCAACGAGATTCAAAGACGGACTTACATCTGGGTGGACTTCTGCAGTGGAATGCCCATGCTGTTGTCTTTGGTGCTGAAATCTTGTCCCCCTCCTCACATATACATTACCTAAAACCAAAAATGGAAGGAAAAGAAAGGAAAAAAAATATACAGTGTCATTACAACATTACAAAGCTTTCTCAGAAAATCACTGCTAAAGGGGCCCTGGGTGGGATCCCAACTGTACTCGATAGTTTTCATCATATTCCCGTGACGTTGCAATTGAATGCAGTTCGAATATGGTCGCCATCTTTCGTGTTTGGTACAAGCATGAAAGAATGAGGCGTATTTCTACCCGCCGTTCTTGGCACGTGTCACGTGGTTTTCTCGCAGCTCGGTTTGTTGTTCTCGTGTTTCTGTTGGTGCACATATAGCCGATAATCACAGTGCGTGATCTGAAGTTTATGTGTTCAATGGAATAAGCGAGAGTGTGGATGGCTCTCCGAACGGTTCTCCTCCTCCCCTCCCCCTCTCCCCTCCCCCCCCCAAGATGCATACTACTACTACTGGCTCTCCGAAGAAGCATACACTCGAAAAACTTCGTCGTGGCAACGGTCATGATGCGCTAGCACTGACTGCCTGCAAACCGAGCTTGCAACTCGATGAGTTGCAAGTATCAAAGATAAGTATCCAAGATGGAGTAAACTAATATCGACGATGAGCTCATGCATGAGAAAAGTAAGATATGTACAGCCCTATGCACTGGCAGTAATTACCTTATGCAATCACAAACTTGAAACACTGAACGCTCAGTGTCGATTACATTCAAACAGCACATGTGGCGCTATTTATCTCGCATCTTAGTCAATCATAAATGTTCAATTTAGGTATGTGCCTCTGTAAGCTAGAGGAGTTGAAAATTAAACAGAACCCTGGAATGTTATAATCAAGCTTTATAAAGTGTGCTTCAATTTCAAATGCGAACAAGTCGCGAAATTTAGGCGTCATACTCCCAATTTGATGTGAAATTCACAAGCACGCATTACTGTAGTATCCTGAACATATGCCCAGACTCAAACTTTTGATGCACCCCCATTTTATGTCAAAATATCTGTGCCAAAGAAAATCCCAATATATCCCCACCCTCCAAAAATAGCACTTCTGAAGAACTGGGAGTGGGGACACCTAGGCAGACCTTTCTTTTTAGAAGTCTCTGGTCGCACGCATGTATACACCAAACAAGAAAGCTACACAAAAGCCTGCTCCTTGTAATTGACAAGGCACCCAACTTGGCTCGACACCAAAGTATTTGCCCATGCGATCGTCGGCTTTACCGCCTCCCAAGCATCTTTCTTCGTCAGTTCGCTTCTTTCGCCCGCTTGCATGGCTTGCTCACTGGTTGAACCTGGTTGATTGTTCTATTTTCTTGTTGACTTCTTTTTTTACACCATCCATCTTTAAATCTACAAATCAGCAAAGGCCAGAAAGCCTAACGAATGGAACATAGCAGTTTTAAAACGTGCTTTCAGTGAACAAGCGTTTGAGTTGTATGCCGCTTGACGGTGTTCATCGCGTGTCCGCAAGCAACAGACTTCGCGACTGTAAAACACTCTTTCAAAAAGGCAGGCGGGCGAATCTCGAAAATTTGCCCAACGGCCTTTTTTCCCCCAATTTGTTCCTTTAAAAAGATTAGCCGTTCGTTCAGGATATCACGGTAACGTGAAAGGTCAGGCGTGTGAATAGTGCAAGGGCCATCTGTCAGAAAATGGTAGCTTCAAAACACTGAGCGTTTTGCGCTCGTCAATGTCGTTAGGGTAGATTCACCAGAGCTGCTTGGTGCGAGGTACAGCCAATATTTTAAACTTTTTCCTTCCAACCCCCCAAATACAATGTTAGCAGCTTTCCCTTCTCTAGGGATTATTATCATTATTTTTTTTAATTGACTTGTTTTTGAACCCAGCACGGGGCAGCTAGCCATAAACAACACTTGTTGTGAATCGTGGCCATGACCATAAGAATGATGGTTGAAGGTGACTTGCATAAATGATGGCATCGTTGGTTCAGGTCAAACACCAGTCTACGTCACCTCTGTCCTACATTTAGTTTCACTTTATGTGCAAGCAAAGATGAAGATACAAGCACGAGCGCATTGTCGTGAACGGCGCTTGCACTGCAGGAGCGCGTGTGGTTGGCAGAAATGCTGAAAGCTCCAAGCTCAATCTTGTAGCTTCTGTTATGCTTGCACTTGTAGTGAAACATCATTTACAGTGATGGAAGCGGCCTTTGACATTTCATAGCAGGTCGTGTAGCAGGCAAAACATTGGTTTGGAGAAGCCACTGAGCCTTTTGGAGCAGATGCCAGCCATCTGTGAGCACATCACTTGAAAACGAATAAGCAATTGCATCGCTAAATGAGTTTATCTATCATATTGACCAGGTTCCTCTTTTAACATTGGAGCACATTACTCATTACCTTTTGTAATAAGAATAGATAGGGCACTAAAGGAAAAAAACAGAGTGTTCTTTTTAGAAATAATGCTCTAGTCAGAGAAGGTTCCATTTACAATAGGTACTAAAAAATTGATAACAAAAGAATCATAGCGCAACACTCCAATTAGGATAGAACTTCCCTCCCTTTGCACTTTTACAGCCGGTAGTTTATTTAGCCTCTATGTATAAGTTCTGTAAAATTCCTGCAAAAACCAGCTGGTCTATGAACAAAAATGCACCCCCCAAGTTTTATGAACCTACCAAACTCAAGACTAATATTATGAATTGCCAAATGTTATGAAAACCTACACTTGTGCAAGTGACACTGCTCCTTAGCGGCACTAAATCCAGAGTGAAGTCAACTGTTCTTTCGATCGACAGCTGCCTGGGGACCAACCTTGACTACCATTTATTCAAATATTGACCCACAATTTTATTTTCTCGGCACAGATTTTAAAAATTGGAGATCAACCTACCATCAAGACAAAATTACCGGTGGACGCTTAAGGCCCGTTCACACTCTTGTGACCCCTTAAAACTGGGTGCCTTGAAACCTCTTACGAGAGAGGACACACTGGCACCATCTATCGGGTAGCAGTGTAAACTTGGCGACCCGGCATATTTTTTATTTCTTTCACGCATTATCCTTTCTTTCTTGGCTCGAGAAACTTGCCAACGTTGTAAACAAGCCTTTTTTATATATATTAAGCACATTTGACCTCGGAAATCCCGCAAAACCTTCGCTCTTGTGAAATGCAGTTCCAGGGTCACCGCATAGATGGCGCCAGCGTGCCACTGTGGTCTCTTGTCCTACGAAATTTTAAGAGGTTTCAGCAAGTCTCGTCTTTCTCGGTTGTACTCAGTTGCAAGAGTGTGAATGGGCCTTTAAGCTTCGCCTTTAAGAGTGGATAATGGGAGCTCAATATAAACCCCCGCTCGTTCCCAAGCCGTGAAAGCACGGCCAAGTCGGTAGCATGTCTGGCTCGCAGCCGAAGGGTCGTGGGTTTGAATCATGCGCGCCTAAAATTCTTCAAACTTTTTTTTTTTTAAGGCAGATGAATTACTTTATAAAGTGAAATTATGTGAGACATGCGCGAGCTCACACGGTTGACGTCATGACTTTATCAACCAATCAGAATTTTCTCGTCACACCACCGACGGCTTATCTGCGATACGAGCTCTTTAAATCCATCGCTTTAGAACTTGGTCGGTGCATAGGTGAACTATGATGCATAAATTTCCGTAGAACTATGTGCCTGCAGCACAAGAAATGAGAGGGGTGTGGGGGTGGTTGATGCTTCAGCGAGTTGTGCTTGAGATTCGCGTGAACTGCCCGTGCTACAGAGAACTTGAGCTTGGCCACTCAGCCGCTGTCCCAAGCGATGAGTGAAGATTGTAAAATCACAACTGCCGGAGCAGCGTCTATTGCCATTTCAATATGACAGGTGAGCATCGCGTTGAAGCGAGCAAACGAGCAAGCCACCAGATAAGAAATTGCAGCAGAAACCATTATTGTATTCGTCTAGGACAACATTAAGGACAAGGTCCTAGAGGACATCAAAGATGATGTCTAGGATGACCTCAAGGACAACATCTAGAACAATCTTGAGGAGAATCTTAAGGACAACCTCTAGGTCAACGTCTGGGATGACTTCTAGGACGGCTTGAAGGATGACGTCTAGGATGATGTCGAGGACGACGCACTAGAGGACGACCTCTACAACCACCAATATGACGACTTCAAGGACGACCTTTAGAACGACGTCACAGTCATCAGGTCCTTCAAAGAGGGTGTGAATGTGAAGGAGTGTGAGAATGTCAGCTGAAATGGTCTACTGTGCATATCTACTGCGCATTAGCAGGCCAGAGAGTCCAAGAAATCCGGCGGAGTAGCTAAAGAATGCTATCACATTAAAAGGACGCGTGTGCACACTGCAAAGTTCTCAACAGCAGGCACGACGCGCAGTCAGGAAGAGCAGCGATGCAAATGGGTCGGCGCTCCGGTATCTGTGTGACGTCAGTTCTGTGATCAAGTTTTCGTAAACATTGATCTCCCAACTTTGCCCCCCCCCTTCCAAGTGGAAAAAACACAGTACTATGTAACAAAAAAAAGGAACTGGAACAGATGCTGCATTCAGCACTTTGGTGCAAAGAGGTGAAGCTCGACAAGCTTGCGCTGGTGAGAGGTGGCACGGAGGCATGTGGCAGGCATGATAATAGACCTACTGCTAAATTACCCAAGCATCAAGGGAAATGCAGGGATTGGTGTTGCACGCACCCCATGCGCACGCCTTCCCCGTATAAAAGATCTGAAGTAAATAACCAAAATAAAGCATTGACAAACTCGCATGAAAGATGCAATTTGTTCTAGGCATTTGCTTTAGAAAATTTACTACTCCCGATACCAGCACGTGCGGTGCGTGGAACACCAATCCCTGCATTCTCCTTGATGCTCTGGACATTTAGCAATAAGTCTATGAAGTGATCTCATCAGGAGTACAAGAACCCGGTTTTGTCTTATCACAGTAGCTGCCACCCCACAATTTGGCAATGTTTTCTCACAACTTTTTGTGCCTCACGCCGCCGACATCGTCTGGAAATTTAGACGATACTGGCGATCAATCCGCCCAGCACGGTTGATGAGCAATCTCGATACTTTGTTTCACATTAATCTAAAGCAAACCGCTGCTACGAGCCAATGGAACCAATTAGCATCAAAGCGAGGCATTATGGCTTTCGTCTATCTTCCTGTGCATGGTCTTTCATTGACTAAACAAATCAAGTGGAGCAAATGACCCGTCACTTGCGCTTTTAGTATGTGTTTAAGCCTTCGACTGTACTCTGACCCAATACAAAAAAAACTATACAGTGAATAGAGACGCTCTGAAATACATATGTGTACCATTTTCCTTCCCTCCTACCACTCTAAAAATTAGTCGACCAATAAGATTTTTTTGTTTTGTTATTTTGGCTATCTTGGCGCAGGTGTAATGCAATTTTTAGCAAAAATGGCACTTTGGTGCACGATGTAGCAGACTTTCGTTTGCGGTGCAATTTGGCGCAAATGGAGCAGCACTTCCATCATTGCATTTACAATGCCGAGGCAGATAGTGGTGTTTTTGGGTCTGAAAATTATATGTTTCGTGCCATTCACTGATCTCTTTCCATAAATCACAGTGATTGGCTCTCTGTCCCACATAGAGGGACGAGGACATGCAGGTTGCGCAACCAATGCACTGACAAGTAAATAAGGTGACAGGAGATGAAGACACTCACTTGAGAAGGCATTTCCGAAAAACATGTTGAAGAGTTCCTCTGGTGAGATATCCCCTAAACATGGAAGAGAAGACATAAAAAAGGCATTAACCAAAAATACTTTTGCTGGAAAGATGCAATGTGGAAGAGCACGGCCAATTCAAAATCAATGGTCACTCTACAAGTACCAAACGACCACTTATTCAGGCAGTGTAAAGTTGTTGTTGTAGTGCAGGGTCAGATTGCAACTGTGTATGCTTGATGAAACTTGTACAAATGCTATCTTAGCAGAAGCTGCAGCCAGGAAAAAGACTGAACGCATCAAGGAAATGTGCGCAAACATTGCTGATCCACAGATTCTGCAATATTATGGCCCGTTCACACTCTTGCGACTGAGTAAGACCGAGAGAGACCAGTACGGTTTTCAAGCCTCTTGCGATGTCTTAGGACCAGCTCCGCTGCAGCGCATCTGGTCGTAAGACGTCGCAAGAGGCTTAAAAACTGGTCTGGTCTCTCTCGGTCTTAATCGGTCGCATATATGTAAACGGTGCTTTAGAAACTGAAAAGACAGACTGTGAATCTGCTCATGAAGTGAGCGCACCTCTCGAGGTGTGCTCGCTTTCTAAAATTTCTCAAATCAGAAAATAAAGGTGCAGCACATAAAATTAAGCTTTAGGAACAATAAGGCTTTCGGACCCATTTCAAAATTTAGATCGTTCTCGCTATCTTTACTATAAAAAAAAAGAAAAAAAATGAAAGCCGTTTAAAACTCCCTGTAACGCCGAATTAGAGTGCAGCTCTTGAGGAGGAGGAGGGAAGGGTACTGAGGGTCACATGTTCTCGGGAGAGGAAGGGTGTCACGTGACCTGGGGGTGTCACGTGACCTCGGGGGTTACGTGACCTCGGGAATTACGTGACCTCGTGGAGGTCATGTGACCTCGACGAGGGGGGCCACGTGACCCCCCAGAGAAATGTTTCCGCTATTTTGGTGGGAAAATTTTTTCGCTAAATCTAGCGGGGACATTTTTCCGCTAGATTTAGTGGGGAAATTTTTCTGCTAGATTTAGCGGGGAAAGTTTAGCGGGGAACTTTTCCCGCTAAATTTAGAGGGAAAATTTTCTCGCTAGATTTAGCGGGGAAATTTTTCTCCTAAATATAGCGGGGAAATTTTTCCGCTAGATATAGCGGGGAAATTTTTCCGCTACAATTAGCCGGGAAATTTTCCCGCTAGATTTAGCGGAGAAATTTGTCCGCAAGATTTCGCAGGGAAATTTTTCCGCTAGATTTAGCAGGGTTATTTTTCCGCTAGATTTAGTGGGGAAATTTTTTTGCTAGATACAGCGGCGAAATTTTTCCGCTAGATTTAGCGGGGAAATTTTTCCGCTAGATTTAGTGGGGAAATTTTTCCGCTAAATTAAGCGGAGAAATTCTTCTCCTAAATATAGCGGGAAACTTTTCCTCTAGATTTAGCGGGGTTATTTTTCCGCTAGATTTAGTGGGGAGATTTTTCCGCTAGATTTAGTGGGGAAATTTTTCCGCTAGATTTAGCGGTGAAATTTTTCCGCTAGATTTAGCGGGGAAATTTACCCATAATGGCACCGCGCGGTTACGCCGACGGCGACGCCGCTCAACCCGGAAACGGGCGCCTAAGAGCTGCGCTCTAAAAAGCATAAGATGACCAGTTTTATGTTAATCTACAGTACAGTTACAGCGATAGCTGCGACACGGCACAGCAAAGTCGTTGGGCATCGGCGTCGCCTTTCGATCAAAATAGACACCTGACCATTTTGTATCGAACACTTTTGTTTCTTTTTTGTTCAGGAGTGCGTGAATGCGCATCTCCTGGCACGAACTCTTGGCATTGACAGTGCTACGATGGCATTTTGTGTTTCCAGAGTGGGCATTGGGTACTACAAAGACTCAAAGTATAGAGCGGGCTATTAACGGTGTAGCGTAGCTCAGTGGCAATGTCTCTGCTTAGCACACAGTGGGCAATCTTTTTCAAGGATTTTGCAACATTGGCGATAGATGCTCTACATCATCAACAACATCAACAAGTACAACAACGAACGTCATTTCCAGTGGTGGGAAGAGCCCATAATAGCTATCGCTCTAAAAGAACTTGCAGAACTAAGATGCGACACCACAGTAGAATCTTTTTAAATGAAACTCTAAATGTGAAACATTTGGGCAGAGTCCCCCACTACGCTACTGGCCACGAAACTTTGGCCAAAGTTTGGTACAAGGTCAAAAACTGCCGCCAGGGCTGGTTTGCTCATCTTGAGGCCGCGGCTGCGGCCAAGAAGGATTTTTACGTCACGTGACCAGCTCCATGGGGACAAGGAAGTACCTAGCGTCCCTGCCTAATGGCGAAGAAATCCGTATCGCTTCAAGCACAAAAGCCTAATTTCACTCGCAGAAACTGACTGCAGGGACTTTCAACTGGAGTCCTATTGACCGCCCCTTTATACTGTAGGGGCGGCAGGTAAAGTTACGGCCAGGGAGGGTAAATATGAGCCAAGATAAAGAAAAAACCACGCGAGATTATAGCGGTGGCAGTATATTTATATACCTCCGCCAGTGCCGGCGGCTCGTGTCTTCTGCTGTGGTCCATTAAAGAAAAAAAAAGTCTTCTGCTGTGGTCGAGAGGTTAGAGCCCCGGCACTTGTTGTCGCAGCGCGAAAGTTCCAGGTTCAAATCGCGCTAGGCACTCCTCTTTTTGTGTGTGTGTATGTTACGCGTGTCTCAATTTTTAACTGTGATCCTTTTTACGAATCATCCACTTGCACTACTGCGCCTTACACGGTTTTTACAGTCAGTTCAACCTGTTCAATTGAAACACCGGGACGAAAGAAAAAAGGAAGATCAAGGCAATTTAATGCGCTAATACAATCGCTTCATAATGTTCATTAAAAGGAAACCAAGGTAACAGCATCGGTATGGCTTTCACTCAAACGGAGCCGAAACGAGCATCCCTTCCCCAGCAACTATACCTGTATGTGTTTTTAAATATACAACGCTCTTGCTACGACTCCTTTCAATAACAGGAGACACCTATTTAGTTCTAATAAAAACTGCAGTTGTGACAATTAAAAAAAAAACTTTCACGAAATAAGCAAAAAGAAAAAAAGACTAGCAGCTGTGGATGAATTGATTGAGCGAAATCGTACAGGCAAAGCAGCAAGTCAAACGTCTGAGAAATTAGAAAAACCGAAATCAAAGAGTTCATACTTTTACTTGCATGGAATGTGATAAAAGGTATATTTTTACTCTTTACATTTTGCTTTGGCAATCGTTTTGTAATACATTACTTGTTGAATTTTAGTTAGAATAGCAGACAATCACAACCGAATGCAAAGATGAATCAGCGTCGACATCGCAAACCATCTTTCTAACGCAAACACCTAAAAGGACTTTGGATTAACAAATGAAATGAATTAGAGCAGTTGGAAAACGGAAACAACAAACTCTAGAGACATTCAGCAGCAAAGTTACCTGGCGAACGAAGAGACGGGCATGGGAAGATATTGTTAACTTTCCGCGCGGGCATGGGAAGATATTGTTAACTTTACGCGGAGTGTACGGCAGATGCAGGAGGTCTGGCGGAAGTTGGTAAAGAAAGCCAGAGACATGTATGCGCTCTCCGAGTTCATGAACAATGAACTGCTGAGTCAGAGCTACCCGCCCAATGATTCTATAGAGCTCATAGGGCCTTGTCTACAGTCTTAGTGGGAGTGCAGTCAAACACAAGAAAAAAAAAGAGCGCGATTTGAACCCAGGACTTTTATGCCGCGACGTCAAGTACCGGCGCTCTAACCTCTCGACCACAGCAGAAGGTGCGAGCCGCCGGCGTTGGCGCAGGTATATAAATATACTGCCACCGCTATAATCTCACGTGGTTTTTTATTTGTTTTGGCTCATATTTACCCTCCCTGGCCGTAACTTTACCTGCCGCTCCAACAGTATAAAGGGGCGGTCAATTGGACTCCAGTTGAAAGTCCCTGCAGTCAGTTTCTGCGGGTGAAATTAGGCTTTTGTGCTTGAAGCGATACGGATTTCTCCGCCATTAGGCAGGTACACTAGGTACTTCCTTGTCCCCATGGAGTTAGTGACGTGACAAAAAAATCCCTCTTGGCCGCAGCCGCGGCCGCGTCCGCAACATGAGCAAATCGGCCCAGGAGCTCGCACTGTCCTGGACAGGGTTTTTTCAGTTTCGCTACTCCAACCCTCAGTGAGCCACCCCAGTGAGTCCATAAATATGCGAGTTAGATAAAAAATTAATTTTGGTCAGAAATGGACAAGTGGAAGCTTGGGAATAACTTTTGCAAGTTCAGCTGTGTCTTCGTTTAAGCTTGGGAACAACTTTCATGGTTTCAGCTGGATTTTCATTCAAGCATCGAAACAACTTTAACGAGTGCAACTGGATTTTCGGTTAAGTATGGTGCAGTAGCAAAAGGCTCAGAGAAATTATTCATTATTCTATTTGGAAATATTCGGTCAAAACCCCCATAAAGGGGTTTTGACCCCTTTTTAGGGGAAGAGGGGAATAAAGGATTATATTTTCGAGCATGTATAAAGTCTTGTGAACAAATTCTGCCAGACATTTCATTGCGTTAGAAATGTACATATTTCTTGTTATTTTTGTTATGTTCTTGTGTTTCATTTGTATATATGCTATGTGTTCGTTGTAAGAGCTGCGCTGCTCTGAAACCTGTATGGGGTATGGGACCTGAGTCAGGCGTTTTAATACAACTTTTGTTCCTGCCACCCCAAAATAATATAGCAAATAAATACAAATACAAATTTGCCTCAAATTCACTGCAAGCTCCAAATCCACTATTCGTACATGCCCAGAACTTTGTAAAATGTATGTCTTCGTCTCTTGGGGTTCAAATGAAAGAGATTTCACTGTGGTCTGTAGATTAAATAATCTTACAGAGGCAATTAAATGACCCGGTTGCAGAGGCATGAAAAGCTACGACATAATGCTGTCCATCTGCTCTTTAGTGCTGTCGCTTTAACAACATAATTGTGGCAGTTTGGTTTGTCCAAATGCACGTAAACCTAGCTAAGACAGCCAGCTCAAACGTACCAGGGTACATATTTCATACTTCCAGAAAGCCAAGAAAACTGGGTCACGAAATTGCTAGTGTACAGATTAAAAGGAAAGATCAGATTCACAGACACTGGCAGACATCAAAAGCCTGATTTTCTCAGAGAAAGAAGGACACCACATCTGTGGACAAGCATGGCTCATTCGTGGCAGCGAGAACATTCGGTCTGAAAAGGGTGGTTCAAGTAGCAAGAGATGCTTGCTGTTATTGAAAAAGGTGGCAAAAACCTGCAACGAATAGACTAAGTTAAGGCCCAACTGACGAACACCTTAGGACACCGCTCAAAACCAGGCCAGGACCCGATCAAAGCTATTAGGGCGTCAACAATCATTCGTCGCAAAGAGAGGCATTGACTGGACTTGCCTTCGAAACCACGACTGTAGTCGTAACTCTCGCCGGCGTAGCTCTGTTGCTGCGGAGGCCTGTTACCATTGATGTCGTAGAGTTTCCGCTTCTCCGGATCACTAAGGACGGCGTAGGCATTGCCAATGGCTGCATTGAAACCAAACAACACTTAAGAGACGCTGCAGTGCTCATCTCATCAACTAGGGATCTTTAGCAAGCATCACAATCAACACACTACACAATGTATGCTACACTTGGCCTTTCCCAGACTGCGGGATTTTCGGCTATAGGCCAGACTCTGTTCACCAGGCTAGCTGGCCCATCGAGCACCCAGCTTCCACTGCTAGCAATAAACAGAGTATAGCCCTTTACCTCGGAGCTACTGAAGTGGCTAGAAGGGCGGGTAGTACGAATAGGGTTTTGACGAACCATGGAGGAATATCTCTGGTAACCAACATGGGCTGTTACTTTGGACGCGCGTGTTTGCAGGTGGTGGGGGGGCCCACCTTTGAAGGCGTCTCCAGCACCGGGAGCCTTGTTCTTGTCTGGATGGACCTGGAGGGCCAACTTGCGGTATTGCTTCTTGAGCAGATCCTCGTCGGCCTCCCTGGTCACGCCCAAGATCTCGTAGTAGTCCTTGCAGTGTTTCGTTCTGTGAGGATAAAAATCATGCGACCCTTAAGGCAGTCTTTCTTTAACAGACACGTACGTCCTGCCTCCTATTGCACAGACACCCATCTTTCATTGTGAACCCGTGTCCTATTGTACAGATATCCATCTTTCTTTGTGAGGCTAGTGAACCCCAATACCTCGTCTTCACTGAGACCAATGTGCAACGTCTCGACACATCCACAAATACACTCCCTGATGGTGCGTATAAATAGACACCCAAACTGGCCCCAAGTCATGCCTGCAGTGTCAAGCGGTTGCACCAATGCTCAGACACCTTTATAAGTTACTGTATGGATGCCTATATGAGTGCAGGTGGAGGCTTGCTCTTTGGCCCTGTGCAAGACATCCATCGCTCTCCAGAAATCAGGTGATCAAAAGGTGATCAATTGAGTATAGCTGGACTGCACTAGTTCCTGATCTGCCACAAACAGTCTTGTACACGTTACTAAAGAAAAGTAATAGATTACAATTACTATTACTCTTGGCTAAAAAGTATTCGATTAGATTACTTGATTACTCGACGGCAAAAGTAATTGGACATTACTTAAAGAAGTAATCGTTACTTTTCCGATTACTTTATTGTGTGAAGACACATATTTAGCGCTCATAACAATGAACTGCTTCCATGAACTGCTTCCAACCTATATTTCACATTTGCACAAGTATTGAAGAAGAAAAACTGGCTCCCACTTTGTGGTCGTTGCACCTTCACAATGCGGACACAAGCATAGAATTCGTTTGAAGACGTTTAATGATTTGGGCGTTCGCCAGTGTGTGTGTGTGTGTGTGGGGGGGGGGGGGGGGGGGGGGGGGGACGGAGGGGGTTCTAGATCTTGTTAAGCTTGAGCAAGGGTTGTCGCTCAAAGTTTGCGTCGCTCATTTTATTATTCACATGTGGATGAGCTCGCATGTCATACAAAAGATCAGCAGCTTCAGGATTTCAAACGGATCGTGTGCAGTATCCATTAGCGGAAGAAATCGCCCCGACCACTTCTCAACTCGAAACATTGCTTGTCACAAAGACCACGTAGGGGAAATGGGGAAATATTTCAACTGCCTTTGTTATATTTTGCATCCGCTTCAGGCATTCTTCGGTTCTGGTTCTCCTACGGGCTGCCGAGTAGGTGCCCTAAGCAGGTTTTTTGTAATTTTTTTTTATTTCTGTGTGTGTGTGCGTGAGGGGGCTAGTTTGAACGAAGGACTCACAAAGCTACCTTTTGCTTCCTCAAACTTCGCCCTGAATGGCCTTTGTCACGCACTGTGGCTTCCCTGGGGCTTCCCACTCCCAGTCCCAGCTCGAAAAAAAAAAAAAAAACAGACATTCCACAGAAACTCTACATAGAAAGAGATTGACCTCGTTTCCTACAGCTCCGCAAAAATCTCTTGTTTCCGTTCGATAAAAAAAAATATTTTATTTTTGTCATTTCATAAAAAAAAGGCGTGTGCCCGGGGGAGGGGGGGGGGGGGGGGTCCGTGGACAAATTGTAACGGTTACAAGTAATTTTATTACTTTAAAAAGTAATCAGATTACTCTTGTGATTACTGCCTAATAAAAGTAATCAACTGATTACAAAATTACTCCGAAAAGTAATCGATTACAAGTAATTTGATTACTTGTAATGCGTACGGTACAAGTCTGGCCACAAAGAATTCCTAAGACTAGAAGGCCATTTGGCTGTCCACACACTAATTTTATGCGGAGAAGTGCATGATGCAATAACATAATATCATGGGACCCCTGCCGACATTGGGGCAACAATATAATTCTTTTTTGCCGCAACACGATTATTAGGTGTAACAAAACTCATCCAAGCAGTTCCGCTTGTGCAGGGGTAGAGCATGGGACTACAAAACGAGAGGTCAGCGATTGCCGGCAAAGGGCAAAGTGTTTTTGTAAATACACTTGGCTGTGTTATCATGTCATCGTAATAACTTTTTACGACGCTCTAGGCTTAAAGGAACTTCGCTTCAAAAGGCATTGAAGTAAAAATAAAAGCTTAAGTCAAATTTAGCGGTTTTACGTGCCAAACCAACGAAGAGCATCTGGCACGCCACAGCAACAAAGCACTGTGGACACGACCACCCACGGATACTTTGACATACAATTAAAGAGCGCCTTCACCGTAATAAGCCTCCATCAACCACCTTGGCTAGGGTTCGAATCCACCACCTTGGGATTCGTAGGCCGGCACTTTCCCTCAGAGCCACCGAGACGACTAGGAAAGGAAACAGGCGAGGCACGGGCCTTTACCTCCGGACAGCCTCCAGCTGCTCCTTGGTGTAGTCGGCCACCCTCCTTTCGGCTGAGGCATCCCGCTCCTTCGCCCTGGCACGCTGCCTCGGGCTGGGCGAGGGCGGACACCCGGGGCTGTTGCTTCGAGACTTGGACCGGGCGTCCGAAGTGGCCCCGTCGCAGCTCGTCGCGCCATTCAGCTTCTGCAGGTACTCTATCAAGTCTGCAAAGGTGGCGAACCAGTCAGCAGCGGGCCTCCCCCAAGACCCCCGCGAAAGCGATGGCAAGGCAATCTCTTTGGCGTCCATTTCGCAAAGTAGAGAGCATCCAAAACAGAGCATTAAGCAACTTTTTTTTTTTTTGTGTATTTTATTATATATTGTAAACAACTTATTTTCTGCAGGCTCAATAATTAGCAATTTAGGTCAAAGATAAAGTCTTGTAAATAAATTGCGAGTTCTAATTTTCGCGACGCGGTTGGGTCTCAATATAGATGCCAATGTGTTTACATTCTACCAGAATTGTTCACAGGGCATATTTTTCGCAAATTATAGGCGATTTGTGAAAATTAGGTCCTCGCAAAATTAAGTTGTTTACAGTATACACTTCACATCACTTTGCAGCCGTGCATGCCTCCATTTTCTTACAACATAAGCTTTCGCGACTACTTCTTTTTCATAAGATATATTACCACAACCCGTAGATGAAAACGGCCATTTTGGACACCCTCTGACCGAGTTTCCGCCAGAATCAACAATGCATGCTAAATCAAATTGGTTCGTGCCTCATCTTTTTTTTTTTTTTTTTCACCGCAACTTCTGCTTGCAACTGCGGAATGGAATCTCTTGCCAAATAAGTTTGTTCCAGAAACTAATCCTGCTAAATTTCAAGAAATGCTCAGTTTCTTCTTCTTCTTCTTGAGACTTAAAATTAAAAGAACAATAATTTTGTTATTGTCTCAATTGTATGCCTGCAAGTGCTTTGTTCTTATTGTTTTTGTTGTCTTTTTATAGAATTTTGTATTCCTATTTAGACCCTCCCATGTGTAATATCCAGAAACGGGTCCTCAAGGTATATAAATACATAACTAAACAAACAAATAAATCCCCAGCTCTTTCCAGACACGCGGTTAGTACGCTGCAATCTTTTTACCGAAATAAAACGCCCATCAAAAACCAAAGGAAGCCACGGAAACAAACGTCTCCTACATGTCCTAAAAGACGATGCGACTTCGGGGTAGGGCTTAAAGCGTACAACCAGAGTTGCAGGTGCTGACGGGATCATCACTTTTTCAGTTTGCGCTTATATTTTCTTTGACTATGAGCCGACGCTTTTCCACGTAACCAACTGCTTTCTTGCATTTGGTTAATCCCCCTGTCGATTAGAGTTTTATTTCGGTAGCGTGTTCTCAAATAAAACTATTCCAAGGAATGGGGGATACAACGAGGAAATTGCGCTTCCCGTTTAAAGAGCATATCCAAGTGATCCTCACATAACGGTGCTTTTTAGCCAAAGTGTGAACTTTGCACATGACGATTCTACATTATGACATTATTTCTTCTTCCTGTCTGCCAGCTGCACTGTCAGCTCTTGGCGTTGTTTTTCTGTTCAAGAGGGTCGAAAGCTTTGGAAAGGCTTGGCATTTCGAGGATGAGTTTTCTCCTTCAAAAGGAAATGACACAGGACAGATTTCTGAGAGGGCATTGCTGCTAAAAAAACAAAAAAGCTGTGGAACAATTTTTTTGTTGCTATTTTTGGATGTAGTTTAGAATAAGCCTTTGACATCTACAGCCTATGAAAGGTGCATGTGTTTATCTCTCCATGCACCATCTGTTGGGCCCCTGATTTAGAGATTGGTTGGTTGTCATATTTTGATAACTATCTGTTGCAGAAGAGATTTAAGAAAAACTAGCAGCATTCACCTCAATTTGCAGCCAGAACAAGCGGGCGCATGGTCTGGTGCCGACTATGTGCTGCCAATGCTTATTATAGCCACGCATTGGGGTTGGCAATGCACCGAGTTAGTGCTATTCTCTGGGGATAGGTAGTTTGGCTATTTCCGAATGTCCACCATGGCATGAATTGTAATGGAGCCTCGGACTTGACTGCACAAGCAGTGCTCTTGCCTAATCCATCAGCTGCACTAGAACATTGCCACCCTAGGGTGATCCTTCCCAACTATGTCAGCTATTTAGAATAGAAATCAGCTGCTTCTGGTCCTTGAAATTACACCATAACAAAAGCTACTGGGTGAGTGGAGTATACTTGTGTCATACACGAGTTTGTATACTTGTGTTATTTGCATAACATGCAAACACAATATAGTTTCAAGGCCCCCTAATGTCCAAAGAAAAAAAATCGTTTCGATATTTATATCCTTACAACCGTCCATTGTTCTGCCATCTTCACCGTCATCTGATACATGGATACAGACGAAGAAAACAAACATTACAAACATTAGAAACATCTGTTTTTGACAGGGCGAGGTGTTGCGATGAAACGATTGTTTTGTACCAAGAACAAAATGGTGGTTGCAAACGTGTCAACCAACTCAGACCATCCAATCAGACTGCTAAACTCCAGTAGTTCGACGTACTTTAGACGAAAAGGCTAGCTCGGTGCCTTGTGTGTATCGAAGATAAAGTTACATCATACAGCGTACATTCGGAATCAGTTTAAACGAGGATATTGTACGACTAAGCCCTCAACAGGATGTCCTCGGCCCTTTTAAACGTCACCACCAGTGAAGGAAAAAGAAAAAAGAACAACGTTATTCGAGGTCGCTGCTTAGAAACGCGACAAGAATCTATCCAGAAAAAGGACGAAAAACAGAAATAATTCCTGAAATCGGTCCGTGTACCTATCAGAAATACCGAAATCATACCAGAAGATTACGTCTACCACAGAGCAAGCTAGAGATGCACTTGTTAACGTAGTGCGCTGATCTCGCACCCTTCGGAGAGGTTCATACGCAGGTTATTCCCAGACGTAAGCCTACTTGATACAGTCTAGCAAAGCGCTCCTGTGCCATCGCTTCAACGTAGTTTCGAGTGTTCCTGGAAACTTGGACAGCTGGTCTGATTCCCGACGTAACCGAAAAAGCGATCAATCCGGCGCCTGATCAAATGCTACGCAGGAAATCCAATGTACAGCTGAGTCTATGATCAGCCAAATCGTAGGCTTACGTGTATCTCTCAATCGCGTTCACCGATGACCTACTCACCTTTTGCGAGCTTCGACGGGTAGAGGTGTTCTGCTTTGTGCAGGAATTTGAGCGCTTTTTCTTTCTGTCCCTGAGAGATAAAAAGTTGTGCTAGTTCAATGCAGCGCTTGCTTTCTTCCTTATTTCCTTCCATAACGGAGCCAAACCCCCCTACATACTTCGAGTAACGATACGGCCAATCGGCACTGACGGAGAACAAGCGGTCTGATTGGTGGACACCGGTCCGTAACCAGTGAACGTTTTATAAAGATTTAATTGTTCAATGAATTTTGAAATTTATTAATGCTCTGTATTTTGAAACTCATTAGATTCATTTCAGATAAATAATTGTTGTTTCAAAACGCATCACAATATGTGACGAAAATTGAGATACATCAAAATTAAGTTTTTTAAACTAATATTAACAACAATATATATTTTTATATGGTATGAAAGTGTCTTCTACTAGAAACAATAAATTAATTATTACGAAATTCCCGGAAAAACATTAGTACACTTTGTGTGTTTTCATTGGATGGCATTCGTCACGTGGGGTGTGGTTTGTATTTGTCGTTTGGGGAACGTTTTTGGCGGGCTGTTGCGGGACTTTGGTTGGTGGGAGAATTATTTGTTGTCTGCGTAAGGTTCAGTGCAAAAAGAATGGTAAGAAATCCAAGTAATCCGCGCTTATTCGGACGTATTTCACGTTAATTTTGATCATATTTGATCCAGGAATGTTTATTAATGTAAAGTGGCACAGTATTTATGTAAACTATCAACAACTTTATGATATTTCGTTCGGTTTTCCAGGCTGGTGGAAAAGCCGGGAAAGACTCCGGAAAGGCAAAGGCGAAAGCCGTCTCCCGGTCGGCAAGAGCTGGATTGCAGGTAATTTCCGTGTAACTTTTCAAAAATGGGGTCATTTGACGCTTCATACTCCTCAGTACCGCGAACTTCTGGGACCTCTGCAAAATCGAACACTCAAACGGATCGGTCGGTTAGGCTTATCGTAAAAATTTCCACCGCCGAACTTGGGGTTTTGTTCGTTGAGCTGGGACTCTGAAACCCTGAATTTCGGTTGTATTGCTTCCGTAGTCTGGCGGTTGCCCTAGCTATCGAAGCGCTGCGTTTCGATGCTACGAAACCGAAGGGACCGTAAGATCTGAGTAGTGATGTGCATTCTGGATTGTTTATATTCCGTTCATCTTCAGGCTGAGCGGTTTGGCTTGTATTACAAAATTCGTATGGAGTCGCAATGCCTCGTCCACTGGTTTTGCCGCCTTTTTCTTTTGTGGCTTGCTGTTGCTACGCCTCTGCGCTTTATTTAGCAGTAACTGCTCCCTTTGCATCATCTTTGTTGCCCTAGTCGTCTGGCGGAACGAAGACCGCTGCGCTTGTAGAATATGTTAACCAAGCGTGCTGTATGCCCCTTGTCTCTAGAGCCTGTTTGCCTTTGCCGAAGTCAGCGCGCCTGTGCGGGCATATGCGAAAGCATCATTGGTGGCGATCTCTGACCTTTTTGTCTTCCGGTTTGTTTTTCGCCGCTTTAGAACGGGTTTCGAAGACCCATGAACGGAGATAAGTCGCGCATGAAAGCTATAATTAATAGGTGTCTGTGTTGACATGTGGTTTCAAGTTTTTAGAACATTTGTTAGTCTTCTGAGGGAGGTGTGTTTCCAGCCCTGCTCACACACTTGTGTAGGTGCACGAGCAGTTATGCATATGAGGGCATATGTCCTCAATCAATATGTGCTTAATATTTGGGGCGAGCCGTTACACGAATTTACTCCACCTGAAAAAGGGTGCAACATTCAAACTATTCGGTTTGAACGTTTTGCTTGTTTCGCTTTTATTTGTGTTTGTGTATAGTTTGGGTGTCTTGAAGTTTATGTACTGCTATGTCCAAGTAACCATCGTAAGCAACTCAACTAGAAAAAAATTGTGATGAACAAGAACTTTTTTACCCTTGTCAGTTATTTGATGTGCTACATGCTGTCACTGATTGGAAGAAGCTTCAGTCTTGTAATATTGAAGGTCAAGGATAGCTTGAGAACATAGTGTGACATAATATTCAAGTCTCAGTAAAAAAAAAAAAAACATTTTTTTTTGACTGAAACATTTTTTTAGCAGAGCTGGTAAAGGCTAATAATGTCCCCAGTTTCGTGTCTGTGGACAAATATTGACACAACCCTCTGGGCCGCTATCGCCATCTATGAGTGACTGCGGCACATAGTACAGCTCTGCTGCTCTTCCTTCTTCACCAGAGTGGAAAGGCTGAAAGTTGTTGTTTTCTAGTTTCCTGTGGGACGTATCCATCGACACTTGAAGAACCGCACTACGAGCCATGGCCGCGTGGGTGCAACTGCAGCTGTCTACAGTGCAGCCATCTTGGAGTACCTTACTGCTGAGGTATGTCTACTTTCTCAAGTTTTTCACCATTTTCTAAGTTTATTTGTCAATGCTTGGGAACAAATTTTGGTCCGCCATGCTTTTGCAGGTCTTGGAGTTGGCAGGGAATGCCAGCAAGGACTTGAAGGTGAAACGAATCACGCCACGCCACCTGCAGCTGGCCATTCGTGGTGACGAAGAGCTGGATTCCTTGATCAAGGCGACCATTGCGGGGGGTGGTGTCATCCCCCACATCCACAAGTCCCTCATTGGCAAGAAGGGATCTCAGAAGACGCCCTGAAGAGGGCTCAAGCAAGATGCTCTTTTTTTTTTTTTCATCGCCCAACACCTTTAGAGTTTGCATTCTTTTCCAGCATTGTCATTAAAGTACTGACATCCACATACATATTTTTTAGCTTCCCTGTATTCCACAGCCCTTGGAGTTTCCAAAGTTTGCCTTGTACTGTCATACTTTCTCACCGTCATTGAGTGTATCATAAGTTCCAATTCACAGCAGAATAAAATTGTTTCAAGGACGTTCTCTGTCAGTATTGTACCAGATGTTTTCTGTGCCTCTAGCAGCTGCAAACTACCATGACGCAAGTTCCTGTGTTCCTGCTATTTTATAAATCGGGATTTTGTGGACTCGATCCGCTGTGGCTCATAGTCAAAATATGGAAGTGAACATGGGGTAATCACATTTCATTCGCCTTTGGCGCGTACTGCAAAGCAAGGAAAAAAAAAAACGGACCCCTCCCACCCCACCCTTTTCTCAGCTACAAAGTATCCGTCGCGCAACGGCGGCGCGTTGGTTCAGAGCAGAGGGTCTGGCCACAATGTAGTGCGCATGCGCGGACTGTTCGGTCTTAGTGACGTGTTTCCTCTTCCGTCGTCCTCTGCCCATGCGGTGCTGCGCCATTCATCCTGTGTGATGACTTGGGCCCCATAGTAAAATAATTTAAACTTCTTTCGTAGCCAGCTAGCACGGCATTGAAACATTGAGCAAACGGCACCCATGGACCGGCAAGGCGGCAGTTATTTCGGAGCCTACCCGTCCATAGACCCAAGCTTCCAAATCCCGAGTAAGTAGCGCCCACGAGAGATCGCGGGTGAGCGACCTTGCTTGCACCCGGCTACGTCTTTTTTAGGGAACGACGGAGAAATAGCTTATGCAATCGTGGGTCACCCCTCGGTTTTAAAATCTCTCGTTTTGGATGCAGGGAGCGGCCACCGAAGACGATGTAGCTAGTTTGTACGAGACTGGCGCTTCGTTGGCGCCTGTCGACCTAGTTCATTGGTTAGGCTAGTACAGACCCGTCTGCGTGTATTACTCAGAGGCTACGTTCCAGCGATAAGCTTTTGAGGTTCTCTATTTTGTGTGAGAGCGCCCGTGCCCGGCGTTTTTGGTGTGGCCGTTTTTAATGGTATGATTTCGGCTTCGTGTAGGTGGACAGAACGCCCCTGTGTCGCCGTATCTGAATTTCGACCCGGCGTATATCAATGCGGTGAGTTTGTCTTGCGATATTTCGTCTAATCAACTGTCATGTTTTACCGTCTTCGTTCAATACGAGCCAGTAATCTCTATTTTGCTCTTGCTCAAAAGAGCATGTTTGTTGGCGTTTCGTCTTCAAATTCTTCCATGTTTGACTTGTGGTTATCTTCACCCGTTTTAGGGTGGACCAGAATGGATCTTCCCCGAAGGCGCATCGAGGCAGCGCGGGCGTTTTGAACTGGCTTTTTCTCAGATTGGAGGCTCCGTCATGGTTGGTGAGTGCCTGCAGGTCTCGGTGACATTCATTGAAAGTGTTCTGATGGTCATTTGTTTCTCTGGGTTCGTGAGGGCTGTGCAAGTATCTTTATCTGCAGATAAGTCAATCAGTGTGCAGAGAGGGTGGTGGTACCCAGTCGGAGGTTTGAAGCGTTGGAGTAAAGGCTGATGTAGCAAGGGGACGCATTTGCGAATGACAGTACAGTCGGGTGCAAAATTTTGCGGGACATGGGAGCACCAGACAAACTGCATTGCCGCGCCACCCTTGGCTCGCTGCCTGGTGTCGGGACCCACGCATTGCGCATGTTCGGCCTTCCCTACTAGGAGGTTTTTCCTCTTCTCTGGCCGCCGTCCGACACGCTTCCGGTTACCACGACCAGCACAAGATGCCACTTTGCAACCGCTATGCAGCGAGTCTGCTTTAGCCGGCGCGACAGGCAGCCGAGCTGCTTGAACCCTCTTCGCGGTGCAATACACTTTCCAGATAACATTTCGCTGGAATCTTGGCAACGGGTTGAGCAGCGAATAATATTTATTTTCGTCTTATCTATGATCTTGCACGCTGTGCCCTGAAATTGACAATGAGTTCTCCATGCACCAAAAGGGAAGCGAGGCATCCCTTTTGCGAAATGCCGCATGCATTAAAATCGGATGTACCGTAAAGTCCGTATGAATGCCTCTCCTCGAGAACCGTTTTTTGGCCTGAATATCTGTGACATCAAAATGAGAAAACATCAACCTCCCCCTACCACCTTTGATTCCCGCCGGATATCGATCACGCCATGTCCGACTGGGGAATCGCACGAACCGCGCCATCTGTGGTGACAGGCGTGTTTGCTGCGGGTTTCCTCGTAACTATCGCACTGTGACACGCGAATCTGCAGCATCCGCAATCTGCAGTACCTGTCCCCGCGACATGCAAATTCCTAACTTGTTCCTGCATTTAATTTTTTTTCCTGTTGCATGCGTGATATCTGTTCCTGTGACACCTGAGTTTGTAGCGGGTTCTTGCGTGTACATCACACTGTGAACTGTGAATGCTCGTGTCCGCGTTCTGCTGCCACACAGGTGATAGGGGACTTCATATAGTCGGTTACAAGTCAAGGAGGTAGGAGAAGCTTCTCCCACAAGCGTGATGCGCCCGTTTCAAATCTCTCCGCAGTCGGAAGGAGAGTTCACTGGAAACTCTCCTTTTTCCGCTTCAATGGATTCGAACTTGTCTCCGATCCCATTTTTTTAAGAATGCGACCTTTGTATTCATTGGAGGAGGAACCGAGCCAGTGAAAGCAGCTTTTGTATCCGTCGGAGGGGAAGCTAATCCCCGAAAGTCGTATTTGTATCATCGGAGGGGGGAAACTCTAATCTCCCTCTCGTGGCTTCCACAATGTTAAGTCAAAGTCTAAAGATGAAGCAAATACGTACAGAAAGGCAAGACCCTCCTCGCGCCTTGGCCGCGACGTCACGGAGACGATGGGACAATATTGGATACGGAGGTGGCGGAGGGATAAACAAGTCCCTTTGAGGGGCATTTGCCGCTACCTTCTTATTCTGTAACCGACTATAGCAAATTCTCATACTTATCGCACTTGTGCTTATCACCAATTTTTCCACAAAATTTTGCTGTTGCAACTTTCAATGTTACTCCATATTTTTCACCATTTGTCTTTTTCATTTTGAGTGGGTAATCTAGGACTTTGTGGTATATAAACATACCTGTTCACCTTTCATCTAATATCTGGGGAAAGGGAACACTACTCTTCAAACATGTGGCATAATTGTTTTGTTGCTTTTTGCATGTTTAGGGTGTTTGCTTTTGCTGAGACCGCTTCTGTGCTCCTGATTCTTGTGAGCTAGAGGTAACAATAGAAGCAATAATTGGATGCCTCATCTCTAAACATTCTGTAAACAAATCTGTACACTTTTGTAAACACGTACATGGCGAATACACGTGCTGGCACACAAACAGCAAACTGACGGGACGACAAGGGGAACAGTGGGAATGCCCTGCTGGGCGACACACACTCTAAACCATTGTGCTAAAATGCATCCATGCAATTGACTTGTGAGGAAAACCTTTTGTTTTATGGTCTTACTTGCTAGTTTTGTCCGTCACTTTTCTTTTTAACAAACTTCAAACAAGCTTTTTTTTTCTTCTACTTAGTCATGCTTGTTCTAGTAAGGGCTTAAGTGTGTAAGTATTAGCAGGGATGATATCATGAAGTTTTCAATATTTTGCGTTGCAATTTTATCAGATATAGTAGATTTGCACTTTGTTAAGTTAAGTATTGGATTTGTACTTTGTTAACTTGAGTATTGGAATGCATTTATGTTTGCTAAACAGGGACTTTGAACATTTGTATTTCCTAATAATGAAAACTGTAGTCAGTAAGTATTGGGCTTCATTTCATACCATACAATTGCATCTTGAAATGGTTTTGTTTTCAACTTATGGAACTTACGATTTTGCTTATACAGTAAAACCTCGTTATAACAAAATGGGATATAACAAACAAATGGATATAACAAAGCAATCATAATTCCCCTTGCTTGAATAGTTGGAAGAAATGGACATTGGCTATAACAAACTAATGGTTATAACAAAGTAATTACGACCGCTCCTTCAACTTCTTTATAACGAGGTTTTACTGTATAGGCCCTACATTTTGTTTTCATGAGGCTTAGGTTGTGCATCTTTTGTTGACTATGCCTTTTATTGAAAATCCATAAGAGGAACCAACCCACTACCAGGACAGTTCTCAATAGCTGGCATTCAGAGAAATTGCAATTGTGCTTTCTTTTTTATTCTATGGACTGAGTTATATTTCAGGAAAGGGTATGTTCGGAAATGGTTTTGGAAACACCTCTACTCTTATTGACCTGGGTGACCAGATCCAATATTTACTTATGGCGCTATGAAACTCGACTTTTGTGGCTCCTGAGCTGCTCCAAAGCAGAGCTTTTACTGCTACAAAGCTGCTTCAAAGGGGCATCTTTGCTGCTTCCAGACCTGCTATGAAAGGCTAAAGCTTGCTTCCACCCCTGAATATGACATTGCAATTGTTTGGGAAATGTGTGCAGCTGGAATTGTTTTGTCTTCAGTCAACATTATGATGGTCTCTTTAAAGGTGCTGCTTTTGGTGGAGTGTCGGGATTCTACCGAGGTCTCAAGGAGACCAGCCTGGCCGGACACACTGGTAGTGTTCGGAGAACACAGTGAGTCTTTGCAGGTCATACCATACACCTTTGTCTGAAGCACTTTCAAGAAGAATGTTCCGAAACACGCACTTTGTGGTTTTTGTTTTCTGAGCAAGCAGGCTACAACCATTGACAGGCAGCCAGTCCTGGCAGCTAGTCCTGATCAAGCTCTTGGGCAGGGCTATTAATGCTTATACTATGCTCTATTTCACCTTACGACGGAGTGCAGTACTCTGTACTCATATAAGGGTATCAGGGTGTCTAGCGACCAGGAAAACTGGGAGAACCGGGCATTGTCAGGAAAATTTTAATTACCGGGAAAAATCGGGGAATTGTCAGGGAAATTGTCAAAAAGCGAGCCCAGTCAGGGAAAATGAACCTGAAACGCCATTGAGTGTTCCGAGCAAAGGCTTGAGGACTTGGGTGCACAAATATAGGGAATAAATACTGGCTAGAGTGAGGCACGGGCTCTGCTCCCCTGATGTAGAGTGTGCTACCCGATGCAAAGAGAATCGACAAATCCAGTCATACCCATGGATTGGGTTGGATTGAGAGCGCAACACTAAACTAGATCCAGTTAGAGCTATTAGATTTAGTAACAAATGGGAAAGCCGCAGACTCTAATCCAATTCAAGCTTTAAGCCAAAAGTATCTGAAAGTGCATCTGGCAGCCATGTTGCCATTTGGTTATTGACGTGCGGTTGAGCTTCGTGTTTTCATCGTGTTTCCGGAAGTGGTCTCTTCACTCACAATGTCAGCAGCAAGAAAGTGCTTGTTCAATCCGGACTGGACGAACCCAAACATTTTTCGGAATATGCAAGTTAGATTAGGCTCATGCAAAATAATCCTCATTGTGCTCAATGCCTTGTGTTGTAATGGTCTTACATATTCTAGAGTGGTCAGGGAATTTCACCTGAAATTGTCAGGGAAAACCTGGAAAAGTTAGGGAATTTCAAAAGAATAATTTGCTAGATACCCTGGGGTATTTACTTGTGCTAGTTAGTGATACATTGTGACGATTGAAAGTGCTAGAAAGATGACCAGTAAAAGAAGACACACAACACAGTGTGACCAGGTGCTCTTGGCTTGTATTTCTTTTACTGGTTTTCATATTTTTAACGCTTTTAATCGTCACTCTGTACTCAAATCTGTACTCTATTTACCCTTTTGAGCGTCGCATAACCTTTGGCAGAAGCGCAGTGATGGGCGGGGTGTACAGGTGCACAATATCTTTACAGCACTTGAATGGATGAATTGTTCGTAGCATTTGCTGTGGTCCATTGTAAGGAGAAAAGGAGTATCGAAAATCCCGAAATGCTTTCTCGCAAGTAACTTTGCTTGCTGGTGAACTGCTCATCCCTTGGAGCTGTAAAGTGTTCTGATTTATGTTCTTTTACATGTGTCATGTTTTACATAGGCAGTCATGAAACTTTGAGGATTGAGGATGCTTTTGTGACAGTCTACTTGTATGTGAGCCACTACATAATCTACACTGAAGAGTAATAGCGAGTTTGTTTCGCATGCACTGGCACCGTTCGAGTTCGCTCTCAGAATGCATCGCACTCGCGGAGTGTCGCATGGGAAACTGGCCTCAAACAAACTTGCTAAGTGCACCGAGTCCAAAAGACTGATGATGTCGCCATCTATGCTGTAGAAAGAGTACCGACCTCAAACCGAAACTAGCGCATTTCTGTTCGACGTGGTGGGTGGGAATGCGAGAGTGCAGTCGCTACTGACATTTATCTATAAACGTTGGTCGGTTCAGCCTGTAGTTTTTATTTGCGATGACTTTAAGCAACTCGGCTGTCGTAGAGATTTTTACAGACGGCGTGAATTTCTGCAACCAGCTGACTACAAAGCAGCTAGAGAAGACTGATTATGCTGTCCGCGCAGACTCTTGATCCGTTTGAGCATGGTATTACTATGCGTGAACCACTGAAAGGGTACAGTTTAAAACTAGTCTGTTGGAATATTCAGCAAAACGTTTCATACTTTCGATTTCGATCGTAATTACAGGTGGATAAGATTTTAGCCTTTGGTGAGGGCGTCAAGAACGAGAGCTTCTTCAAACAAAACACAACGTGCCAAGACAGCTAACGTAGGTAAATGTTAAACATGATGATGTTGCCCAAGCCTCGGGTAATGTAACTATGTTTAGCTTTCTCGGATGCGTATTGGGCAGTCACAGGTTTCTGCTGGGGAATCTTTGTGGACAAATGTTAAATTTTTCACCCGCACACTGACGGTGATAGTGATCCCGGGGGCCACTGATGCGTTTTTTCTGAGCATTTTTTTACACACTGGTGTATTTCAGCGTCTGTACGGCAACAGAGCGACTAAAAACTTGCAAATAAAGCACGGGTTCTCAATTGCTTCCTTCAGGAAGTAGCAGACGCTCACAATTCGAGCTCGTGTTTGATTCCGTTGCCCGCGGGACACAATCTCTATCAGAAAAACTACTTCTTTTCCTTTCGGTTCCGCTGTACATACGACAGATCGTAGCACACAACCCCTTGTCTGCTCCCTCTCCTCCGGAGCGGGGCATGACGGCATCGCATTTTGGTGCACGCTCGATTTCCTGGGTGTAGAAAGTGCATGCACGCGTGGGGTGCCGACACTGAAACAAACTTCGGAGAGTGCAACTACTCGTGGAGTACCGGCCGAAACAAACCTGCTCCACGCTGCGAGTGGGCATGCGTGGGCAGGAGTGCCATGAAACGAACTCGCTACTATAAGGCTGTTAGGGCCAGTGTAGATGGATGGATGCTAACAGCCATACCTGACTGGTGGTAGCTTGTGCCGCCTAGCCTAGAAATTAAGAACCAAAAATATGATTTCTTTCCTTCGTCAATTTGCTTCCCCTCTGCAATTTTGTAACTATCACCAGGTGGTGTGGGATATCACCAGGATGACTTTTGGGGGAATCGGGCAAAAAAACAGGCCGTGACTAGGGGTGCTGTCTCATAGCTGTGTTTATTACAGCCTTGTAGTGTCCCTTTCCAGGCTCTGAGCCGAGATGTGCAGTGCCTCGGTTCAGTCATGGCAGCTAATGAATTGTTGTCAACTTTCAGGATGCTCAACTACATTACGAAGGGGGGCGCAGGATCTGCGAATGTTCTTGGAGTCGTAGGTGAGAACCAACTTTGAATACATCGAGCAATGGCAGAGCCATTGCTCTACCATTCCGTAGAGCCACGGCATGTAGGGAGGATATACAAACGGATGACCCAACAGAACCTGTAATTTATTCCGAGAAAAATCGTGCATTTATTTTTACACGTTTAAATTTCAGTCACCTTCAAAGTACTTTTCGTCTTAAGCAATACTCTCATTGAGATATTCTTTCTAGTGCCTCAAACTGCTTTTAAACCCGTCGACAGTAATACCTTTCAGTGCTGCTGCCGTTTTTTTTTTTGTTTCTCCTTTTTCACATCGGAAAGAAGATTGTTAAGATTTGTTTTCACCCTGGGAAACAAGGGAAAGTCATGAGCCATTCCAATCTGGGAAGTTGAATGACCAGTGAAGCTGTTTAGCGCACGACACAGACCTGTCCCGAGGAGCCAGAGGAAACTAGACATGCAACGGGACTGCCACCCCGGGAGAGCGGAAGGAAAGGAAACTAGGCACGCAAGCGGGGCTTGGAATGACGACAAAGAGAGGGCGGTGCGCGAGCGTAGACATCGCCAACGCAGGTTGCACAGCGGCAAATATTTGAGAAACCTTTATTATCTACTCGAGAGTCTACTGATCTCGAAAATGGTGCCTATTGATAACTAACCTACTGAAAACGCATATCCAAGTGATGAGACGTGTAAGATTTTGCATAGAACGAAGTGATTTTGCATCAAATTCGGGACCTGAGTTTTTGTTGACTCACATGAAAAATCCACGGAACCCTAGCCATAAACAGCTTCGCTGGAAAAGTCGCACGGGGCAAGGTGGGTAAATAGGGAGGGCGGTATGCCTCCCTATCATGCTGTTTTTGGTAAAAAACTGCTGAACTCTCAGCACGGTGTGGGCAAGCATGTTGTCATGGTGGACGAACCCATCTAACAAGGCGACACACAAATTTTGCAACTTGTTTTGTGTGTAAAATCCTCCTATGAAATTAGCTGGCAGAAACTCCACGATAGTTCCAGTCAACTCCACAAAATCATCAATCGTCCGACAACGGTCATTGAAGGTGTCTCGATGAGTTCTTGCGGCGGTCCCTTCGGTTTGGCTGGTTGAAGGACGACTTCAACGAGGTTGATTGGTCAGTTGACGTTTCGCCTTGTTTAAAACAGGAAAACCATTCGTAAATGTGTGTGTTTTACTGAAAGCAGCTTCCTTGTAAGCCGTCTGTGGCAGTGGCGTCACTAGGGTCAGCGGCACCTGGAACAGCCTGCCGCGACCCTCTCCCCCCTTCCACTTCCCCCCTCCCCTCCACTGCCCAGCTGCACCCCCCTGAGCATTGCCCCTGGGGTGGTCTGGCCCCCCCACCGCCCCCTTGTGGTGCTACCGGTCTGTGGCCCAAACACCGTTTCTGTTGCATTCTGTTTAACAGAAAACGAAATTTAAATTTTTAGCAGAAATAGGCAAACACGTTGAGCCTCTAAATACAATCTACCGAAGCCGAACGCAGTGACTCATGAATATGCCGACTGCTCCACTCATGTAGACGGGTCCCTAGAAAACGCACCTACCAGTAGAAAATTGTAGTACAAGAAACTTGGCCTTTAAAAAAGTAATTCCGGTTACTTTTGGGTCCTTTCTTACATAGTGGCTGGAAGGCCATCTCCGGTGGCTAGAGGCGAACGCCTTCAACGCTCCACTTTTGCTTGAGAATGCGCAAAGACTTGATAAAGTTGTGCTTTGCTTGCTTACTGAACAACATGCAGTATGAGAGCTGTTTCCAGGATGATACACATGCTAATAAAAATTTCATAGGTTTTCAAGCTTTGTGCATGCTTGAAAGTCTTGTTTCGGATTATCCGTGGCCTGAGCGGTGGCAGTCCGAAGTATTTGTTAGAAGTATTTGTTTTCATCAACTTGTGCCTTTAATTTTTTTATTTTATATGTTTTCTTACGAGACCAATGACGAACGCTGTCACGCCTCAACGTGTTCAAAGTCGTTCACAAAGCTAGCAAAACCTCCGCTCACATGACCAGCTTAGACTAGTTCAATGCAAGCTTACTTCTCGAAAAGGCACATTGTCTGCTGCAGATGCCCGATTTATCCCTCACAACCTTTTCAAGGGTGTCCAATATCTGCCAACTTTCTGCAAAGTGTTATAACTGCGTGAACTTCACGTCAAAATAATTTTGAAAAGTGCGAGGTCGGCTTACACTTTTTAATCGTCTGTTCTTTTGATGTGGAGTTAATCTCAATGCATTCTCTGATTACAATGCGCTCGAACTCTGGAGGAAGAGAGTGAGGAAGTCTGGCCCTATAGACCTTTTCACCCTCCGCCGCATGGGCGCTGCCATCTTGGAATCACGTGATGCGGCCGCCATTAGGTTGCTTCAACTTGTTGCTCCGCTCTCCCGTCCGCGCCTTGGCGGATGCGTTGAATTCGTGTTTTTCGTCGCGTTTCACCGCGTCTCTTGCCTTACTCCGTAAAGTGTTGTCCGATACTTAAACTTACCATGCAATTGCATTACATCATTGTGCGCGCAACTTCTGCAGTTAATTTTGTAACACGTTTTGAATCTTTTTTACCGTCGGCGTGCGGGATACGTGTGAAAAGGCTTTATAGGAACAGGAATCAGCGTTAGCACTTGCGCACATTGAATACATATATGACTTGAAGAGAGCCTCGAGGGTTCAAATACGAATAACTTACGAGAACTGAGGTTTGGTTACTAATAAGGGCGGAACATTTGCAATAGGAAGCCCAATGTTATTATATATATGAGTGCGCATTGGTGTAAAGAGAGAAGACAAAAACACTCAGCGCAATTAGTCACGTGTTTTTTCTGAAAGCATGGTGTTTTGTAGTCACAACAGATCGAAAGCAGTTTCTTTCGATTGCACTAGGGAACTTGTGGACAAGACGCGGGAACAAACGTTTAGTTTGAATTATGTTTTATGCTATAAACAATGGTACCTTAACATTAGGCAACTTGTTTGTTTGCAATATCAAACCTATATCCGTTTTACGTTCTTAATCGCGTGTGTGATATAAGCATTCGCTTTATCGGTATATTTATGAATTCTACGGAATAGTATATCGTGCTTGGTCCCGTGTCCATAGTCTTTCAGTTGCTTAAGTAATTTTAATATAACCATGCAGTTTCAATTAATTTGTTTCAACACAAATATTTGGACTCCCCGCGTAAGAAACTGTCACAGACCCCTTGATAGAGCCTATGATTTACAAAATGTGACGCCGAAAAGAATCCTTCTGCATGAAAATCACCTGAGTGCAGCCGGTTGTCCACGGCGAATAGGGAGTTACTTTCAGTAGCTGACGACGTCAAAATGTGCAAAGCGCATCGTTTCAAATCAGTGAACAGCTTTCTACACAGGTCAATTGGGTGGCGCCTGGCGTTCGACTTCAGCCAAACTTATCGGAGATCATTTCTTTTGCCCTCTTCAATTTCATTCGGCAAATTTTATGGAAGATGAATATCAGACTTTATTTGAAGTCTGGCATTCACTTATCTCAGCATTCTCATTCCTTGAGAACGTCGTAAGCAAATGTCCATATAACAAAAAGTTTATTTCATAAGGCCAATATTTTGAAATGCTGTTAATGAGTACTTTAGTTAAAGAAATTCTCTAGTCAGCCTACGCTGGTCTATCAAAATATTTCTCGAGCGCTTAATTTCTTTAAATAAAACAGGCAGGGACAATATCACTTTTTTATATTATCTACGGGATTATATGAAACTTTTGTAGTAATTATAAAAGACGTTTCCAGTCTCGAAGTTAGAAAAGGTTGGTGTACGGAAACCAAACATCGAACAGTAAACTTGTCAGTTCATCTGTTTTCGGTGATTCAGCAGATTGTTAATCATGTTGTCGACCTGCTTTTTCACTAAGCACTGATGCAATATAGTCTGTCGCAATAGAAAATGATTAGTTCAATAGCTGACTTGAGCGCGAGCTATCTACCTTCCGTACCGCTCGGTGCACGCACAGCCAAGGCACGGCTGCAGGCAACGAGCGCACGCTGCATGCAGAGCTTGTCCTGCTCTTTATTTTTTTTTCTTCTGGAAATTAGTGTCCGTGGGTACGGCCGTGGACAATGGTACTCCTCTCTGTGCATCAGCGCTGTTGTTTCATTGCCGAACCTGGCCGAAGTTAACGATGGACGGAATCAGACGCATATAGTGTTCCTAAAAAAAAGATCGTTATTTAGGCTCGAAACCACTTCTCGACTTGCCAAGTGGCTCAATACTATTGTTTCATTTGCTGTGTGCTACAAGAAAGAAATTTATATCGCAAAACTAATCGAAAGTGGCATGAAACAGCATCACAATCGCGTGCACGTTGAAACCGAAACCGACCAAATTGAAGCAACCTAATGGCGGCGAGTGCGCCAGCGCCCTCTACCCGCCGGTCAGGCAACTACTGAAATGAAAAGGTCTATACATGCCTTGCAAGTGACGTCACGCTAGGGAACATCTGGGGAAGGACGGGGCCCCGCACCACCCGGCACCATACTGGTGGTTGACTTCACACCGTGAGGATGCGCTTACCAAGGCGTAGGATACCGTTGACGGCCCGGACACGCGCTAACATGCACCATATTTTCAACACAGGTACCGTGAACTTAGGAAAATGTGCTGGGCCTATGATGATGACGTTTATCCAGTACGTGCGGAATTTTTCGGCATTGGTGCGATTGCGTTACGAGCAGAAAGTTTCGAAATGCCGCCGACGAAGTTTTGACGCGAAGGGATGCCGTGTCACCAAAAAAAGAAAAAGCTTAATTGCGCGCTTCATAATTTGACGAGCGGCTCTAGGAGTCGCCTGTAGGAAAATTATGATGTTGCGTAATACGGGTAAACAACGCAATGTTACCGTCATAATCATAACCCTGAGACAAGGATAAATCATATAACAAACAAGAAACTGTCCATGTCTCAGGGTTTATATTATGATGTTTCCTAACCGGCTGGCCTGCATACTTTCGCTCCTTGCAAAGGTTATCGTATCGCGGACGGCACAAACCGATGACCCGGCGGCGGCGGTTCGGCGACCTTGCACACGGGGGCCGCCGCCGACCGATCGCCGTCGGGCTGTGCTCGCGGCGCGACACTCGCCGGATTCGGCCGGGAGCCCCGAAGGTGCGCTCGAAGCGTGAAAACGGCGTTATGGAACGAAGGTCAACGACCAAAAGCCGATGCAGAGGCCTGCGCGAACGTAAACAACGGTAGAAAAGGGCCGCCGTTCGCCACTATGAAATGTGTCCCGCAAACTCGATAATCCGCGGCCGCATCTTTTTCCTGCCGCTCATACTTTCTCTAACTTGACGGCTACTCTCTCTAGTGGGGCACGCTGACGAAACGATCGGACGATCATCGGGATACGGGTTAATTGCTGCAGCCGAGCGCGTCGCAGTTTACCATTGCTCTCGCTGCGAAGGGCCGTCGAGTCAACCACCAGCATGGTAGATACCGGTGTTCGACGTCATCATGTGACGTACGTGCAAGGCATGTATAACCAGCGTCAATGACTCGGAAAATTTTGGTGTTTGTTTTGTCAGTGAAGTCTGCGCATCGAGGCGGTGTGCTACTGTTTCCTACGACAGCATATACAGTGGCACTTGGTTTTTGCACTCCATAGTGACATGGTTGCTCTGCCTCAAAACACAGAAGTAGGGTACTCATGTCTGAACATGAAAGTGCGACAATGTCGTGTAAATCTTCTTATCCTGGTTCAAACTTTGCCAGTCTTTGCCCTGCACTGGCTGTTCATTGTCCTGCATTTTTTGTGTTGTGTAATACAGGACCCGGAAACATGTTGCTTCACACTGAGGACACTCCCTTAGAGGTCTTTGTTTCCATACACTTATACCTTTAATTTCTTTGATTTATGTGTGTTCTTAGGAGATATTTTTCATTGAGCTCCGGAAACTTAACACACCTTATGAAGTGATGCCTTTATTACTTTCTTAAGCTTTTTTTTTTCTCTTGCAGCGGTGATGTATAGCGGATTTGGAGTTCTCTTCTCCTTCGTGCGTGGAGCCGACGATGAGCTGAACACGCTGGCGGCCGGGACCCTCACGGGGCTTCTGTACAAGTCCAGTAGTAAGTGTAGATTTAGCATCTTTGCCTCGTTGGCTACAAGGACCTTGGAAGAATCTTAAAAAAGTTCCTTCATTTTGTTCTTTGCATCACACTGTGTTTGGGTTTTAGGCCCACTTCTTTTTCTAATATTCATTAATGATTTACCAAGTTGTGTTTCTTCCTCCATGCATTTATACGCAGATGACTGTGTAATTTATCAGGAAGTTCATGATGATGGTGATGAATGCATTTTGCAATCTGATTTAAATAATATTACTCTTTGGTGCAAAAAATGGCGTATGGAACTAAACCCTAACAAATGCAAACTAATGCGCGTTTCCTGGCAAGGCGCACGCCCTTCAGCATAACACTAACCGACATTCAACTTGAATCTGTAAACTCGTACCGTTATCTGGGTGTTACCATATCGTTGACATTAACCTGGAAGCCTCATATCGATATAATAATCGCCAACGCTAACCGCATGTTAGGATGCCTATGATGAAACTTCAGAACGGCCCCAGTTAACTTAAAACTTCTTTACAACACTCTTGTACGGTCAAAATTGGAATACGCAGCCTCTATTTGGGATCCTAACCACGACTTTCTGCATAAAGCTTTCGAACTAGTTCAGAATAACGCCGTTCGTTTCATTCTGTCTAATTATAATCGAACAGCCAGCATATCATCAACGAAGTCCAGTTTGTTGTTACCTTCTGCCATTGCGCAGAAAGTTTTTTCGACTTTGCCTGTTTCATAAAGTGTATTATCATCGGTCTCTGCGAGATCATTTCTTTACATTGCCTAACTATTACCCTTCCCGTCTGGACCATCTGGATAAAGTTGGATTAACACGTTGCCAAACAAACACTTTTTTTTTATTCATTTATCCCGCATACATCAAACGACTGGAACATCCTTCCAGCAGATATCGCAACTATACCCGATTATTTTCTTTTTCGCCAATCTTTGTTTACATTTCTGTTTGATGAGCCTACATGGGTCATTTTATTTTGTTCATAACAGATATTGCTTACTGGTTTTGCCAATCTCAGTGTATTTTTGATATTTAAATTTCTTGCCGATTGTTTTTTTGTTTTGTCAGTTTGTTTTATTTGTGTTTGCTTTGCCCCTCCTCTCTACAATGCCTCGGCGCATGAGGGTATGTACAGTAAATAAATAAATGAATGAATGAATGAATGAATGAATAAATAAATACATTAATTATTAATTAATTAATTAATTAATAGATTGCCAACCTCCAGGTATTTTACAAACCCATCACGTTGGAGCTCATTGATTTCTTGTGCAGAGTTGTCATCTTGGCAAAGCTACCCTAAAGGGGCCATGAAACAATTTTTCTACTTTTGCTAAATACCACTCAGAACTACTTTCTAACGTTAATAACAAAATAAATTTGCATAGTTTTTCTTTCTAAGCAATGACCGTCGGCAAATAAATTTTATAAATATAAGCACTGTGCATCCCCTCAACTCGGAGCCAGAACAAGCGGCCACTTGGCCTGGTGCCTATCCTATGCCGGCAGCGTTAATCATGACCACGTGCTGGGGTTGGCAAATAGAAACTGCCTGCTGAGCTCCAGGCATTGTAAGAGTTTGGCTATTCTCATCATTGCAATGGTTGGACACCAGCCACTACTCGAGTGTCTGCCGATGCATTGATTGTAGCAAGCCGAAGTCGAGTGCTCACATTCTCGTGTCCCATGCGTGAGCCGTGCTCGACTGTCGTCAGGCGGTTGGTTTCGGTCCCGCAAATATGTCATCAAGCTTTGCGAAGGCAAGACTGAAAGAAATAGTCTCCTTTTATCCTCACAATTTCACTGCAACCAAGAGGCTTCTGAATCAGTGGCAGTCCATGCAAGTATACTTGGGCAAGATTAGGACCAGTACGCCTGTGTGAAGTCATGAACATTCCAACCCGATATTGTTTCATGACGCCTTTAAAGGGATGCTGAACCGGAATTTGGATTTCGCAAAACAAGGCCACAGAAGCGTTGAACGGTACACTATGAACTTTAAAACATCACTGATACATCGATATCCCAGATGGATGGCCGTATTTTTGAAAAGGAAGTGCGCGACCAAGCGAGGAATGTAACGTCATGATTCTCTTTGAACAGTCGAGAATGAAGGGAAGCGGCCTCGTGTCTGTCCTCCTTGCAGGAGCAGGTGAACTGTCACCTGCTTTTGGGGACAAAGTGAAGAGGAAAGAGAATGAAAATTGTGACGTCACATGTCCCGTCGATCATGTTCAATTGCAAACTTCTTTTCCAAAAATACGGCCATTCGTTAGCGATATTGCTGTATGAGTGATGTTTGTGGGTTTTGCAGCGTCCCGCCCATCGCTCCAGCCTTTTTTTGTGAGCTCCGAATTTTGGTTCAGCATCCCTTTAGCCTGTACGGCGAACAGGTACAGCTCTGTCCCGGCATCATGGTGCATTCAGCTGCACTATGACCTTACACAGTGCGGTTGAATGCACTCTTATAGAGTGCATTCAGCTGCATTTAACCAACCGTTCCTTCTAATAGGTAGTGCATAGATTTCGTCTCGGAAATATTGTGAAACCTTTAATCTAGTTATATACACAGACTGGGCGTGTACCAGTGCCATCCGACAGATGGTGTCAATGTGCCGGTGCGTTCTATCGTCGCAACTGATCCCAAACGGGCGCAGTGCACTCGGTCACAGTTGAACGCAACTGTGTGAACCGCATCTCATGGTGAGAGTAACTGGCAAACACTTACTTGTAATGGGGGCTAGATTGCAGGGTCTGTGGTCAACTAATGCAATGATCCATTCGTTTCTTGTGCTGTTTTTGTTTTTGGTAGACCAGTTTGCCTGGAGTGAATATTTTTTTTTTCCCCAGCCAAATGAGAGTGAGTGGTTGAGTTTTTTGTTTGTGTTTCTTGCAGGCGGTCTTCGCAGGTGTGCCCTGGGAGGCGGCGTAGGTTTGGGCCTTGCTGCCCTGTATTGCCTTTGGACCAGCAAGGACCGCATGAAGCACATGTTTCAAACGAGCCCAGCGTAACTGTGGTACGCGAGGCATCTTCTAGGTTAGTTGACCCCTGCATATTTGTTGTTGAGACAGCCACATGGCGTAAGGTCATCATCGCACCTGCTGGTGCTACCTCATTTCACAGCTGTAAAGGGACAATTTCACCAGTGCTTTGTTATTGGGATAGTGCCCCGTGGGTGCTAATTCGGATCCCTAAAGGGGCACCAAAGTGGCTTCTGACTTCGTCTTTGTACGATTCTAACTCACTCTGCACACTTCTCGGAATCTAAAACTTAACAAATTCTCCAGATGCATGTCCCACTTCTAATAATGAGCACCATTGAAGGAGTGGTTGCTGAGAGGGAATAGAGTAGTGTGAAAGTTGGCATGAATGCTTTCTCTTGCACGGTTGATATGTGTTCCAAACCAACAATGAACCATGACAAGAAATGTATGAGTGCTGTTTTAAACACTTTCTCTGTTTTAGTGTGACAACTATTCCTAGAGCGCTCTGCCTCATTGAATTATGGAGCATAATTACTCTTTCAATACTATTGTAATTCTGAGAGTTGTACTAGTACCAACCTTTGATTTCGGTGGTCTAAGACGAAGAGCAGAACTATGGGTTTGGGTTGGGTGGTAATGCCGGTAAGCAGCTATGGTGACTGCAGAATGTCCCCTCACGCTACGGTGTCTACAATTGGCTCAGTTTCACGAGTTCCAGCCGCATGATTTTTCTGCTTTTGAAATTAGGAGGTATGCACGAGAATACCCAAGAAGCAGTTCTAGTCATCAGCTTGATACTGCTACGAAAAAGCACAAGATGCCCGAAATTGACTACACTCTGCCTGTTAGGGCATTGGCTGCAGCAGCCATCCCACAAATGGCCTGCTAAGGAGTCAATAGCAAGGTTAATACCAGTTTTAGTTGGGATTTTGGAGCCATATTGGCATAATTTGGTTATGACCATATGATTTAGTAAAGCAATATTAATAATTTGTTTTGGCTTGTACTCTGAGCAAAGTTTCCATGGTCATGTCTGGAGTAATATATATGTTTGCAGGTTATACCATTTTTAGGTTATATTCATAGTACTAAAACTCTTGTCATATTTAACTTTCAGTTAGGCATTTAGGTAGTTCGCAAGTCACAGTTGAAAATTCTCTATTTCTACGACTGCTCCTGAAAGAATTTAGAAAAGACATTGTTCTGTGAGTGGTAAGCAGACAGTACTCTGTTTCAATGCAGCCGTGCCGAAGCATAGATCTTGCCCTTTGTGAATTCAGTGTAGTTGAGTTGAGAGAAAGTAATGCAACATTCTTTTGTGTTATGAGCAACAAACAGCATGGGAGGGCAATGTTGACGTAGCCTGACATACACATCAAAGATGTGAAGGTTATGTTGCGAAGTGTTGAATTGAGGCACATACATGGGCATGTGTTGCAAATGAAGCTCACATAGTAGCAATTGAAGTGTTTGCCAAGTTGCCAGGGGGTTCTTAGATTCTGTTGCTAAATTCGGTGTTTATGTCTTCACCAATTATAGAGAATGTGTTACTGTTTTAATGCTATACTTGGTATGTGGTTCTCTTGTAGAAATAGGACATTTGCTTCTTGTCTGTATGAAAGCAGGCCATTTGTTTGAGTAGGGCAGTGGCACGGCAAGTAAGAAGGCTTATAATTCAGCCCCCCCCCCCCCCCCCCCCGCCCGAAATTCAACCGACCCTATAATATTCGCCTGCATTTTGATGCCCCCTTCCCCCCTTCCCCTCAATTCCGAAAAAAATTCCTCGCTACACCACTGGAGTGGGGCCATACTTCTAGAATATCATAAAATGCAGTGTCTGTTTCATGTGTTCCTTTCTAAATTTTGTGTTTTTTTTGTCTTGTTTCAGGCAACACTTTCACATCAAAGCGGTTTCCCAAGGAATGAAGCAAGACATGTAGCTAAAGAAAAAGATTTGTTCCATCAGTAAAGTGCATAGCTGTACATAGTGTTATACATTTCTCAACCATATTTCTGGTGGTATCAATGGAAAGTTTCACATGCATATTTGGGCATTTCCTGAGTTAACTAGGCTTCCTCTTTTTTTTTTTTTTTCAGGTAGAGAAGTAAAAAGAAATTTGAAGTTTTCATAAGTGGCTGACTTGTTTATTTCACAAAAGCTATCGTTCACAGTCTTGCACCAAACTTGACAACAGTTTTATGTCACCATCTGATAGCACCTAATGCTGTTACAGGTGTGGAGTTGGGGCATACATGACTTCACGGGCAAAGTGAGTCCTTGTATTAGTCGTGCTTCCATAACCCAGAAAATTATTGCAACAGTTGTCTTGGCAAGTCTTCTAGCCATGCATAAGATCAGTGAGTGTGCATGAATACATTTACTGTACATTTTCTTTGGTGTCCTGCAACAAGGAACCTGTTGTTTTTACTTTGCCCCTTTGGATGATGGGAACAAAATGTATATTGTGTCTTTTTTTTTTTTTTTGCAAAGAGTGTAACACTAAAGTTAGGAAAGCATTTAGAATAGACCGATGTCACCAAGCGTTCCACGCATGCGTGACGCCGCCATAACTGTAGTTCATAGGAGGCAGACGCCAGTTCACGAGACAGCTCATGCCGCCTCGTGCTGTGCTCGCGCAGACCTGCAGCAGGGTTGTCGCGCGTGCAGAAAGACTACAGCTCCCACGATGCATGTCGGCAGCGGTGGCGTACTCAAACTAGCTGGTGAGATCGGTCTATTGAGATTTACAGCAGCAATGCAAATGGAGCTGAGGCAGAGAACGTGCATTGCAAAGAAGCCAACTGTCAAGGGGACCCTTGCGGAGAAGCGCACTACCAGTTCAGCCTACTCATGCCGACGCTCCTTGAAGGGAGAGAGGGAAGCGCTGCGGCTTTCCATCTAGGTGGTGTTGGCAGACCTCGAGGAATCTAGCATTGAGATCTACTCACTATCCTTTCAATCGAAGCCAATGAGAGCTCAGCGTCGTTCTGACGTTACCGCAACTCCTGCGGCGTCAAGCAGACGACTTGCCCTCCGCATAGGATCCAATGGAGCCAACCGAGGATTGTCGAGAGTGCTTTGTCACGGAGCTCGTTGTCTGTGGGTTTGCTGTGGCTGACCAAACCAGTGCAGCTCTGACTGCTTCCGATTGGAAGGATAGTGGGTAGACCTCAAGGTAGCTAGCATTGAGGTCTACCCACTATCCCTCCGTCAGAGTTTATCGGAGCTCGGTGTTCTGACACTGCAACCCTTGCTCGACGTCACTGCAATTGTCACCGGAACCCTTGCACAAGAAACAAACACTTGCGCCGCGCAAAAAAAAAAAAAAAGAAATCACACGGTCGCGGTGCATTTGCTGCGGGTGATTGGTTTAGTTGGTCGGCGGCGGAGTATAGTTTCATAATTGACGTAAAAACTTCGTCTGCTTCTTGCACAGGGGTTGGCGTGACGTTAGAATGCCAAGCTCCGATTGGCTGAATTGTGGTTAGACATCAATGCAAGCTGCCTTGAGGTCTACCCACTATCCCTCAATTGGAGCTGGGCGTTTCGACGCCGCCGCAATCCCTGCAAAACAAGCAGACGAACTTGCGCTCCGCATAGTTCCATGTTTGCTGAGAAAATTAAATTAACATCGAAAACACGGGGGGAGGGGAGGGGACGGTAGAGGAAATTTGTTAACACGCACACCACGAACCGAGGCTCTGTAAAAACATTTAATATCCTGTGCTGTTTATACACCTGCGTATTGTATATGACCAGTTAAGTTAAAATAATATTCGCTCCCAGTGTTATTTTTTAATGCTAAATATGCTTTTAATTGTGTCGAAGTTGAAAGCGTAAAGTTCGACTGCAGCAGAACACGATGCGCATCAATTGGAAATAAGAAACGGCATATCTTTTTCGGGTTATTATTTCCTGTAAACGCTTACTTTTATCAACATGGTCATACACACATTTTGTAACATTATGTTCTTTCGACCTTTGTGACTTGGAGGCTTTTTGCCTTGTGTGGTTGTCTTCACGAAAACAATCAATTCCACAACAACCCTTTCGCATTGACACTGCGATATGAATATAATTACAATAATTTATATTTAAACTTCTGGCGAGCAATTTTCTCTTACAATATTTTGACACCAAGGGGAGAGGCACCACGGCGCATGCGCGCCGGCTCACCTGCAAGGACGACGGTCGCTTCTCGCAATGCTTGTATAGAAAATGGACCATTGCGATTAACACGATTACCAGCAACCTCCGCGCTTCCCCGTGCTCCGTTGTTCGGCAGCACCACTGATCTCAATGACATAGAGATCAGTGGGCAGCACCATGAGTTGCAGAGTGAATTTTACGACAGTGTGAAATGCGGGACGTATTGAAGATTCGGGAATTTCTCTGGCGGGACGCGAAACACGAGCCCTCAATGCGGGACAGTCCCGCGAGTAGCGGGGCGGGTGGTCACCCTACCGTGGCGTCGTCTGCTCCATCTAGCTCCATCTAGGGAGGCTCAAGTGAGGGTGGGTGCAACTGCTAGATCGGCGATCACGGGACATGGACGCCATTTAATTGCTAAATTTTGCTGGGAGTCTATGGGGCAAAGGGTCGTTTTCTTTCCTAACTCGGGTCATGAAAGCCCATTAAGGTGCTTGAATAATTTACACAAGGTATAAATGATTACTTTTCCATAGCCACCAGTTTTGTTGCGATAGGTTAAGTATTTTTTTAACGCGAAAAATGGTAAATTCCGCCATCTTGGACGTTGCTGCTTGTCTGGCAACTTTGCTTTCTCCGCTCGACGTTTGCAATTCTCGGAGCGAGAAGGAAGCGAGAGAGGCTGCGCCAAGGCGCTCGTTGCTTGCAATGGGAGGCGAGAGGAGGAAAGGCGCATGGAGCAACAGAGTTGCAACAGAGCGGGCGCCTGTTCTCGTGCAGGCAACACTGGCGCATATCCTTTCTCGAATCCTCTCTCTCAGGCGCCGCCATTAAATTGCAAACGCTCTCCAGGTTTCGAGTTGCGCCCACCCTCACTACAGCCTCCCTAGCTCCATCATGGGTTGGTGGCGCCTCGTAGCGGCGCGCCTTGAAACTAGCCCTGGCGTCGCCAAAGGCAGGCATGCCGCGAGGTTGACCGGGCATTTCAACGGCTGTGTGCTTGATGTGCGCACGAAATCGCACAGCGGCACATTTCCGCCTTGACACGTATCACGTGTTCTTGTTGCTCACCCTGTTCTCGTGTTTCTGGGTTGATATGCATATGGTCAATAGACACCGCGCGTCTTCTAACGTCCGTGTGCTCAACTGTGCGAGCGTGCGCAAGGACGGCTCTGATGGCGCGTGAAGTGAACGATCACCTCATGCGTGAACCAGGTAGGATCATTTGTAAGCCTTACGCACCGGCTTTCGATTATAAAATCGAAACAACATACCTTTGGATGAGAACTCTGCGGAATATTGACGCAAAAGGGTAGCCACAGCCCACGAGAAAAGTGTAATGCACGAGCATCCGTCGGAAGCTGGTCGCTTTGGAACACCCAATTTAACAGACTGCTTTCCGTTCATCGAAGTCGCTCGGCGGCTTTGCCAAAGCCTCTCGGCACGACATTTATTTCGCTGACCACGTATGACGTTCCGTGCGAAATTCCGTACACGCAATTTACTCATTTTTGAGTCCGAACGTTAGAGCAGTGATGGCGGAGGCGAGCTGGTGTTAGTTTACCGTTTTCTTTAAAATCGGCGAGGAACGTTAAGGAACGCAATTGGAAGTAACAGAAAAAGAATGACAGAGGGTAACGTCTTAATGTTCATATATTCAGTGTCAGTGTTCATATCTTTCGCTGCAACGTCTCAGTGTTCATATCTTTCGATGATTGCTTGGAAGAACGCGCTATATTCGATTTGATCACGGTATCGAGCGCTGAAAGTACCGAGAGGGGGAAGCCTTTTAAAAGAGAAGATACTAAAGGTGGATTACTGAGGAGTCCCGCAATATTTACTGTTCATGGTCTGTTAGGGTGGGTTACCTAGGCCCGTTGAGTGCGCTTCTCCCCGCGCACTGGTGCGCCGCGGAGGAACGGCATTCGCGGAGTAGGCGTTGCAATTTGTGGCGTGTCTCAACTCGCCGCAGCAGGGCAGCTTCTGTGTGCTCACGAGAAAAATACTCCGTCAGGGCGGAATTGCGCACGGGAAGCCATGGGGTAGCGAGAAAAAGGAATGGAACTCGATGCGTGCTTACTGATGTCGATAAAGATTCACTTTGCAGTGATAATTTCTCAAATATTTTCAAAAGGAAACCGCGGTTATACCGTGCTAACGCTTCCATCTGATGGAGCCAGTCATCAAGTAGCGCCAAAAGTGCATCATCACGGCGCTCGTTTTCTTCGCGTGTATGTTATCGCCGGCTGAACCAACCAAACACACAAAAGACCTAAGATCACGGTGCATTCACTATGCGTGATTGGTATAGTCGCTAATGCGGAGATCAAGTCGTCTGCTTCTTGGTCAACGTTATTAAATTAGCACAGTTACGGAACTGCTCATAGACGCTGCATGCACGAGCAGTACCCCCCTCACTCACTACGACTCGCCTCCGGGAGGCACTCACTTGATCGAATGACGTTTTAGCGAACGCCCACGTTTCATCGAACGACACTTTAGCGAATAGCCTCCCGTCGTTCGACGCGACGGACGGATGCTTCGGTAACTGCAGTGTATTCTATGGGATACGTTTTTTTTTCGAAGCGCAGCGTCTAGATAGCGTTCCACCGTGCTCTATGGAACGCACTGTTATGAGATGAAAATATAGATGGCGCTTCGAACGACGGGAGGCGGAAGAAAGTGAGTGAGGGGGTACCCCTTCCGCGGGAGTTCCGCAACTGAGGTAATCTTGTAACATTGGTCAAGGGTTGCGGCGACGTCAGAACGACGCTGTGTTCTGATTGGCTTTGATTGGAAGGGTAGTGGGTAGAGCTCAATGCTAGCTGCCTTAAGGTCTGCCCACTATTTTTCTTTTTAATCAGCCAATAAGAGTCGGCGTTCTGACGTCATCACAACCCGTGTGCAAGAAGCAGACGAACTTTTGCTCCGCATTGCAAACGCGCAAGGATGATGAGCGCCACGACGAAACCCTTTTGACGGTGCTCGATCGGCTTCATTGGATTGTGGCGCCGGTTTCTTGCATTCTACATATTCTTTCTTAAAGGTCATCGTTATCCATATCTAAGCGACAGAACCGAACCTTGTTTGGGCTCGGAACGACGGGGACCTCTCGCTTTCGTGCACAAAACGTAATGATATACGTTTTTTCGCTGTCACCGGATGACAGTGTCGTTAGCAGAAGGTGCAGTCATACTTTGCAGCTGTCACAAAGCTGTTGTCTGACTGCGTTCAGGTATATGGAGACCTCGGCACCGTTGCGTTGCGAGCGTGGCTGCGCATTATTTGTGCTCACGTTTTGTTCTAACCTCGGAGCGTTTCCCGTCGTGAGGCTGTCTCTTCACTGCGGTGGTCGCTGAAAGTAACGCAGGTGCGCGGGCAATCGTGCGGGGAAAGAGCGACCAATATGGAAAACGAAGTTTGTGGCAGCCCTTCGGTCTTCGCCGAAATGAGCGTTTTTGACGTGGCTCGCAAGGTGAAGGACCAACAGGTACGCGTAACGCGTTGAATGATTGTAACTACTATTTGCTTTTGTGTTCAGCGATCTATCGCCTACGGTTTCGCCAAGGTTTTGCTGGTACTTCGCAGCTCGCCACAAAGATTTTAGACATAAACGTGAAGTCTGCGGTCTGATACCGCAGAAAAGACGCTTTCGATAATTTTGTTGTTTTTGCAATTTTTTGCTTTATTATGAGGGAGTTTTAGTAGGTCGTTCCGATAACTCCGATAGGGATAGTCGATACTCCGCTGACGCCTTTGCACATGCATTGTATCGTTTTCGGCAGGACCGGCCTTACACCATAAAGCGCCCGGGTGAACTCCGGCTTTGGCGCCTCCCCCCCCCCCCCCCCCCCCTCTTTTTTTTTTATGCGCTGTGGCGCCACCTTTTTTGGTGGCGCCTTGGGCGACCGCTTAGGTCACCCACCCCTAGAGCCGGCCCTGGTTATCGGGTGTCGTTATTGTAGGTAAAATTGAAGCAAAAGAGAGTGTTACGCTTTATCGGAGGCGTTTGTTACTTATTCCACACAGAATCATTATTAAAAAAAAATATCAATATATATCGATTGTATGAATACCTCCTGGCTAGGTCATTTTGTTTTTCATCACTAGAAGTGATTGATCTATTGAGGCATACATCGAACTTAACCAGAAATATAACTATCATCCGCATCTCCTGTTCGGAGGAATGGAGAGTCTCCCATTATCGTACAAATTGCGGCTTACAGTCCCTCTATTATAACCTATCCCACAATACTCACTAAATATTGCATAGATAACCTTGACGTTGATAGTTCGGATCGTAAATCACTGTACCTACTTTTTGTATAACATGTAATTATTTATCTTAACATTTTAGCTAATGTGTTTTCTGTATGTCTGTTACTCCGATTTTTTTCCCCTGCATTTCTGTCACCCCCTGCCAAGCACTCGGGGTTTGGACCTCGTCAAGCCAACAAAGATTGGCTTTTTTATTGGTCCGTGGCTCCGGCACCTATACTTGCAGATGCAAATAAAATTTGATTGCATCTAGTAGAACTCCCTATTCCCTGATCCCCTGTGCAGATCGCAGGGTGTTGCGGGAAAGAAGACGGACGGGCATTTTAGGATGAAGAACTTGTAAATGAGTTTTGAACTTTTGATAGATGCGTGCCAACGTGTGGTGTGGCGCGTTGTGTCCCAAGCATGGTATGGTCGCTCTGCATGTCGATTGGATTAAAGCATTAGCCGTCATAACGCCGAAGAACTAATCCCCAAGCAAGTAGCATGGGCATAAAAGCCACGTTTTGTGTTCCCTGAAAGGACACTAACGACCCCCCCCCCCCCCCCCCCGGCCTTCCCCCAAATTGTTATTTTTTATGTTTTGCCAGGCGATTGATAATAGTGGCAGAAGACTAGCCAATCAATATTTTGCTACCACGTCACGTATATATATATATATATATATATATATATATATATATATATATATATATATATATATATATATATATATATATATATATACATAAACTGCTTGAATTTGAGACCGTAACTGGACCGGGGAGGAAAAAACAAATGTAGAGGGGGAGACAGTTGCCGGAAGTCACGAGGCTACACCCGACCGCGTTTTGTTTTTTCCTTCGTTTTCCCGGCCGTGCGAGGCAGAAAAAAAAAATTCGGAAATCGCAATTCGTGTTCGTAAGACGAGCGATGTGTTCAGCCAGTAGAAGGGACGACGACTCGGTGACGTCTTTTTGCGAATCAGCTCGGTGGTCGGGCGCGTCGGACGGAATAAATCCTGATTGCTTTGATCGGTAAACGATTGCTCTTTCGAAGCTAGACAGATTCGCCGGTACCGCGAACTACACTTTGAAGCAGAGGTCCCACACCCGTCGTCCGCCGCCGCCGCTTAGTCCGCTTCGTTTAGCCGTCTATCCCGCGACTCCCACGATACGACGCCCTCACTGGCGTAGCCAGTAATTTTTTACGGGGGCGGGTGGGGTGGCTGGGGATGTCCATGACTCGGGGTGCGTAGAGGGGGAGGGGGTCAAAATGAACGTGTATATTATAGGGTCGGCTGGATTTCGGGGGGGGGGGGGGGGGGGGAGAGCTGAAGCCCCATTAGCCCCCCCCCCCCCCCCCCCGCCCCCCCTGGCTATGCCCCTGGACGCCGCCATGTTGGGAATTACGCAGAGAATGGAATGCACAGAGTGCTTCCGGTTCTCTGCGCAACTTTCATTTTTTTTCAGTCAACGTATTTGCAGCTTTTTAGAAGCCACACACAAAAAAAGAAAAAAAAAAAAAAAAAAAAAAAACTTGGCGGGCGCTTAAAGGGATACTACAACGAAATTTCGGCGCTCATTTTTTGGTCTATATATGTTCGAAGGAGCAGTATCACATCGAACATACCAATATCTTGTGAAAAAAGTCTCGAAAAGGAATTTTAAAACGAATTAAACGATTAGCAAAGAGCACCTGGTGGATGTCGCTAACGCCTCGTTTGTAATGCTCGTCTAGGAACCTTGACAGCTAGTGACGGAGGTTGTCTCGCTTCCGGCCACGACGAAAGAAGAGGGGAAGGAGGAACTCCCCTCTTCCCGAGAATGCCTTTTGTGTGTCGCAGAAGTTGCTATTGTCCCCCTACAAGATTATAGAAGATTTAACCCGTTACTCAAAATTCGTACAAAAGCAGTCGCTTCGGTGGCTGGAACTACTAGACCATCCTCTCGACGTCAGCCTCTCCATTGCTTTGCTCGTCCCGAGACGACCTTCGTCACGATTCCGTTGGATGTCACGTGGTCTCCGCTAGGCCTTCTCCGAGCGCTTGCCGGAGTGGGCCGTTTATAACGAAAAATACAGACACCAGGCTCAAAATACAAACGTGCGATTGTCTTTTACGGATATTGTGGATCATATTCAACCTATTTTTGATCACGACGGGAATATTTCGAATTTCGTTGAAGTATCCCTTTAAGCTTCGCCTTTAAGCGTTCGCAAAGCCTCATATAAGCCCGCGCTCGTTCCCAAGACGTCCAAACGTATGTGCAAGATCTAGTTAGTAGCATCACGTGTCATGTGACGTTGCACGTGGCTGTGACGTCATGACCCTATCGGCCCCGCTGAATTTAGCGAAAACTTTCCCGCTAAATTTGGCGAGAAAATGTTTTTGCTAAACTTGATGGAAACATTTTCCGCTAAATTTGGCGGGAATATTTTCCGCTAAATTTTCCTGCCAAGTTATGCGGGTCGATAGGGTCATGACATCACAGCCACATGGAGCGTCACACGTGGCTGCGCGAGCAAGCAGAGGTTGCTCTGCGGCGTAAACGCACCTGTGAGTGAGAACGTCGTCGATGTGTAAGCACCAGCTGACGCTGCTCATTCACTTCACGGGATCGTCCGCACAATTGTAATGGTATTAGGTACGGTTAACTGTTGTAACGAGAGAAAAAAAAAATGTCGAGGCATTTCAACTTGTTTCGTTTTTAACCGATCGCAGGATGGGGACGCAGCGTTCTTCGTCTGCGACTTGAGTGACCTGGATGCCAAGATGAAACAGTGGCGTCAAGAGCTGCCCAATGTCACGCCATTTTATGGTAACGCGATTGGTTCTCGTACTTCACCGTCCACTGACTCACCTCTCTTACGCCACGCCGAGACGGTGGTTCCTACGTGGATCGGAGCACGTGTAACATAAAAACTGGAAAAGAGGCTCCGTCCCAAATGTACAAGCCTCCACTCAATGCCAAATGAGCAGAGGTGCGTCGGGCAACGGTCGGAGCTTTGACTTTGTAAGCTCGAATCTTTAAAGTAACACTGACCCCCCCCCCTCCCCCCCCCCCCCGTTTTTTTTTAATATATATTTTTTTTTAATTTTTTTGCTAGGCGATTTAATATGGTGTCAGGAGACTACCCAATCAATATTTTGCTGAAGAGTCGCGTGCATTTTTAATAAAGCAAAGCAAGTTGAAGTGCTTGAAACCGACACACAAGCACGAAACCTCATGGCCGGAAGTCACGGAGCTTCACCCGTGAGAGTTTCTTTTCTTCTTTTTTTCTCCGCTTCTCCGGCATGTGATGCAGACGACAACGACGATGAACTTGCGTGCACCGTTTTTCGTGCGATTATTTCGCGCTTATATCCATTCCGCTCGACGTTCTGCTCTTAAAGCTCTATTGACCGGTACCGCAAACGACGGTTCTGAAGTAGCGGCGGCTCCACGTCCGTCGCAACGTTGGTCCGTCGTTAGCCGCCATCGCGTCGTTCATGCCGTGGTACGTCGCCATATTGAGAATGACGTGTAACATGGACTTCCTGCGATCTGTGCAACATTTTTTTTTTTTTCCCGAGGCAACGTATTTGCAGCTTTTCGGAGTCCACGAGAATGGGCTCATATACTTTTCTGTTTTTTATATACATATGTATATATATATAAATATATACATGGAAAAGGGGGTGAGCGCGATTGAAACCGGCCAATTCTCGACCGGCTGTTTTGGGGTGGAAAGAAAACGAACGTCGAGCCGTAAATTATGTTCTGGGTAGTTGGTCTCGTGGGTAGCGCCATTTTGAGAGCGAGAGAGAAAAGGGGAAAGGGCTACCGGCACTTTCCCCCTTTCTGATTATGTAGGAAGAGTGGAAGTCCCGGATGAGAGGCCTGGCCGGTGTTGGGCGTCTGCAGTGCCCCAACTTCGTTCGCGCTTTCTTCTACGTTTCAAACTCCCAAACTTAATTAGAGTCATGGTCTTCGATGGCAACAGTCCCCCGTTCATCGGGACACCATTGCTGGGTGGTAGGGTGCACGAATAACGACAGAAAGCGTCGAATACTGTCCGAGGACCTATGTAGCTTGCATGAAATCCTGCAAGGCAAGTACGGCTGGAATGTTTTTAAGCTCCATTGCTTTCCGCATGACTGGAAATGATGAACCATTTATACATTTTTGCTTGCAATGGGCCTATTTCAACGCAGCCGCTTTTAGTTGTAATCAACAAGTTATACACGAAACGGGAACCTCAATTAACTTTGTAAACCCCCGGAGCTGCTACATATCGTCTTGCTCTGCTGTTTTTATCTTCGTGTCCCTGTTCTTATATTTCCTTGTGAATGAACGACGAAGACGCTCCAGATGTACTTTTCTCGAACCGCAGAAAGCCTCGAAGCAGCCACGAATTATCTTACTATTTGATGCAATATTTTGGGTACTCACCTCCAATTTCTATCGCTGGCACGTTCGCTGCCGCTGTTCCCCCCGTCGCCACACTGGCGCATGCCATGACTCAAACAAAGAAACGTGCACACTGGGCTCGAAAACGCAGATCGCAACACATGAGACGTTCCCTACAGCGACTATCAAGCGCCTCAAAGCGCCTTAGTCAACGGAAACAACCCACCAGCGGCACTCCAAGGACGCTTTTGCCGGCCCCCTAATATCGCGCAGAAGATCGCGATAAAAAAATAAAAATAAAATAAAAACAATAGAAATACGTTTTCAACAATTTCCAGCTTCACCCGGCGGCGGAAATGAGCCTTCAACTAAATGTTGTAGATGATAAAATCGAGTCAGTCACCACTGCAAATTATCACTATTAAGATAAATTAAGTTACAAAATTTTACAAGCTGAGACAGCAGTTATCACGAGAAAACTCGCCCGCACATTGCGAGCGTACCCTATGTTCATCGGCGGTACAGCGTTTGGTGCGCGCTCCATTCACGAAATGTTCCGAGCGAAGTCGAGAGGATGGCGTTGAGGAAACGCCTTTTCGGTTTACGGACGCAATCCACTGCCGCCGGAGACAGGGGTCATGTGGAAAGCGATGGAGCTTAAAGACATTGCAGCCGCCCTCGCCTTGACGGATTCCTTGCAAGCTACATATGTCCTCGGACAGTGTTCTACGCTTTCTGTTTTTATTCGTGCACCCTATGACCCAGCAATGGTGTCCCGATGACCGACTGTTGCCATTGAAGCCTCTGGCTCTAATTAAGTTTGCGAGTTCAAAACAGAAAAGAAAGCGCGAACGAAGTTGGGGCACAGCAGACACCCAACACCGGCGAAGCCTCTGATCCCAGACTTTCACTCTTTCTACACAATCAGAAAGGGGGAAAGCGGCGGTAGCCCTTTCCCCTTTTCTCTCTCGCCCTCTTTCAGTAAAACGGTCCGTGTCATGCAAAAGACACGGTGTTTGCTGCGGACGCGATGACAGAAGTACTACGCTGACACACCTCAAGCACGCTCGAAGGTGGTTTGCTTCGTACATATATGTATGCATCGTACAAGGGACTTGCCTCTGACCATGTTTGCAGACTGTCTTTTGTGTGATGTATTAAGCAGTGTGACGGCGGCTTTGAAAGGCCGCTGACGAGTAATGTTTCCTTTGTGTGACGTCAGAGAAATGGTGCGTTCTCCCTTACCGAGTGGCTTAGATGACGTCCTTTCTCCTCTCTGGCGATTCGGGGAGCGGAATATCTTATGACCTTCTTATTTACTTTCACTGACAGCTACAAGAAACGCGGGGCTTTGCTCCTCACGCCTGTCAAGGCTCGTTCACACACTTGGAACCAAGTTCGACCGAATGAGACAAGACCGGTTTTTAGGCCTCTTACCACCGGATGCGCTGCTGCAGAACTGGTCGTAAGCCGTCTCAAGGGGCTTAAAAACCGGTCTTGTCTTAGTCGGTTCTAGTCAAACGCAAGTGTGTGAAGAGGCCTTCACTTCGTGGTCGGTTCTTCGACGTTCTTGTCGGCCCCATGCCTCAATTTCATTGGATACGGAACGATAATGACAAGGTACCCGTGACTTGCCACGTGCTCTTCGTTCAGCAGGGTATTCGCGGCGAGAAGTTTGGGTATCGCCGCCTGGTGGAACTTTTTCACAACCCAGAGTGAGGATACTCCAACTTTCTCTGCTGTTGCACTGAGCACGTACAATGCCAAGCTTCTATGCGCCATGGAAAGTAAAACATAACCGCGTGGGTAGCACGAGCACATTAACTTATTTGAATGAAATGTTGTTGAAGAAAGCAGCATAAACCATATTTCTCCTTATTAAAGGAAGAAAAAAGAAGTTTGCTGCAAACAATAACGAGAAGTGAAAAAGCCAATTTGTTTATTGACTTCTGTTGTGTATTATGCTCGTGCTTTGAAACGATACTGCAGAGTGCATAAAATATTCAAGTTGGAGAGAAAAGGGGAAAGAGAGAAAGCGTTTATTTGAAAACTTCAACTGCCACTTTGAACCGGCTTGCTACGCTATGTAAGGAAACGGAAACGGGGGAGGAAGAAAGTAGGGAGCTGTGCATCAAACGATTTACTTGCAATATCGTACTAAAAAAAACAAAAAAAAAAGAAAAAAAAAACAGGAAAAATAAACAAATAAATAAACAACATGTCGTGGTCAACACGAAGCTGGGGGAGGACAAGAAAAATCTCCTTCCCACCGGAATGCTTCGGCGACCTAAGACGGGGCTTTTAAAAAGTTATTTGGCTCCAGGAGTTTTCTCTCGTGCTTTTTAACTTTGTAAGCGGTTTTGCCTCTTTTCCTACCTCTAGAAACTATATAATTAAATCTTTGTTACAGCTGTGAAAGCTTGCGCAGATCCCGTGGTGCTCCACGCCTTGAATTCTTATGGAATCGGCTTCGACTGTACCAACAAGGTGATTATGCTGTGTGCCAGGCACGTAATAAACATGCTGTATACCAAGTCCGTGTATGCGCACTAGAGTGGTTTACGTCTTGGGCCAAGCAGGAGTAAGCCACACCGGGCCCCTCGCCTAAACTATACTGTGCCCGGAGCGCGTCTCCGACTGGTGTATTTGCCGCGCACTCACACGTGGTCCCTCAAATTACGCCTGCTGACGTCATAAACGTGTCACGCAGTTTCCTGTCGCGATCCTGGCGGTGGCATGTCGGCAGAGGTGGAAGCGCCAGACGCCGGTTCTGCTGCAGGTCACTTTGCAGCCAGACGGTCGACGGAAACCTAAGAAGGCGCCAGTTGGCACACCGCGACTAGCATTTCCAAGACCAACCGCCAGGATCGCGGCATCCGACAACATGGCAGACCGGCTCCTCTGACGTCATTTGTTGCAACCTCGGGGTCCACTTTTGATGTACGGGAGGGTTGGGACTCTGAACACATCAGTCGAAGACGCGTTCCAGGTACTGTCATGGCATCAAGATGTGACGTCATCACCAGGATTATCGAATATCAGCGACAATTTATGTAATGTATGTAAAAATCACGTCGGAAGCTTGGAGTCGTCTAAGTTGTCTGACATCTCCTCCTTATGTCCAATTATGGAAGTAGAATTCGTCAAGCTCAAGACGTCGTAGCGAGCGTGAGGCCAATCGTGGAATGCCGACCACAGCATGATCGTGCCTTTCACTAATAGGTTCGTTTTCGGTGGCGTCATTCCGACCACCATTTTGTTGTCACGAGTTCTATGGCTCGAGCTTGAGACGAGTATTTCGAAGATTTACGTGACAACCTGAAATCGGTACTGCACAAAAGCTTCATCACTCATCTTTTTTTCTGTGTGTGTGTTTTTACTAAATAAAACGTTTTTTTTTCTCACTCATTCAAACAACAAAATGACGGATTGACGCCACTCGAAAACGCCCTATACCTAAACATCAGCGTGGTTTGAGGCGTCACTAAAAAAAATCACTCCCTGCTTTTCAGCCGGAAATGATGACCGTGCTCGACGTAGGCGTAACTCCCGACCGCGTCCTGTGCGCTTGCACGATCAAGTGTCCATCGCACCTCAAGTTCGCATCCGAGCATGGCGTCAACATTGTGACTTTTGACTCGGCCGAAGAGCTCGTCAAGATGAAGGATCAGAACGCCAGGTAAGTCTTAAAAGCAGACGGGACGTCCAAGCTGCACGTGATTTGCTGGTGAGCGACTATTTGATGTTCGCTCTCCTATCACTGTTTAGCGTATTTTCCAGACTATAATCTGCGGACTATAGATGTTTAAAGTTGAAATTTTACCCGGTGCGGTCTATTTATAGGTGCAGACTACAGCGCACGTTCGCGAGAAAACCGAACCCTCTTTTTCGCACAGTAAAAATAAACTATAACATCGCGGAGAGCTCAAACCCCGTCGTCAGAACGTAGCCCCAGCCGTTCAAGCAGCTTGCAAGATGTCAAAGTTTCAGCATTAACCATGATTTCGTTAAAAAGCTATAAGCGATTTTCTGAAAATTTCAATGGAAAAATGGCGGCCGACGGAGCTCTCGAACACACTGAGCTCTATGGCACCAGAAACCAACAGGTAAAAATAGGCCCGATTTTCACATGAAAAAAATGACCTATAACTTTTGAATAAGATAACAGTTGGTGCTAAAACATTCGCATCTTGCTCGAATGGCAAGGACTACGTTCTGACGAAGTTTGAACTCTCCGCAATATCTAGTTTCTTTTTGCGGTGCCAAAAGCAGGATTCGGTTTTCTCGTGGACGCCCGGTGCAAAGATGTTTTTTTTTTTTTTTTTTCTGTTTTGCTTTTACAGCGAAGCTGGGTCCCGTGGAATTTTCGCGTGCGACGACAGAAATTAAGTCACGGCTTCGTGACGTCACGACTTTGTGACGTCATAACCGCGTCACGTGACGTCAATTTCGCCGCTAAATTTAGCGGGGAAATTGACGTCACGTGACCTCAACAGCAATGCTGCTTCCCCGCTATATTTAGCGGGGAAAATGACGTCACGACTTTGTGTCACATCACCCATAAACAAATTCAGCGGTAGGAGGGGAGGAGGAAAAGGAAAGGCGGAGGAGGAAGGAAGCTCACCCAATACCTCCTAGACAGCTTTCAAGCCTGCTTGTCACGTGATTTGACGTCAGCAACGTCACAGCGCGCCGGCCGACCTTGGCGCGGCCGGCCGGCTCGAGTGCGCGCTGTAGCTCTCGTCGCTCGAGCATTTCGTTCGCGTATGGCGGTAACGTGTGCCGTAAATTAAACTTGATCGATCACCATGGCTGCATGAATTACCACAGTTATGAAAAGTATACTCGTTATGAAACCAAAAATACATATTACAGCGAAGATGTTTATGGCTAGGGTTCCGGTGGATTTGCTGTGTGCGCGACCAAAAACTGTACGCTCGCACCGTACCCGCGCGCCGCACTAGCCGGCGTCTGCAGCAGTAACTGCTCTAAAGCAAAAGCCTAAAACAAATGGCACCTTGCATGCACGTTCGTCAACGCTTTATTTTGGTTATTTACTTCGAATCTTTTATACGGGGAAGGCGTGCGCGTGCGACGCGTGGAACACCATACCCTGTGTTCTCCTTGAAGGCAGCGGGCGGCACGTATGTGTGCGTACCATTTCGTCACACCTTTGTTCAAAATTCTGTGTCACGTCTGTGTCCTGTGTTAAACAGCTTCGCTGAGTCATCCACCATCACAGAGTGGAATGGCCCCCAATTTTTTGTATCATAATTATGGAGCAAATAATACATATTGCACACTAATTGTGAAGCAGATAATACATATTTATTTATCATATTAGACACCGGGCATCAATTGAATGGCACAAAACAGAGCACTGTAAAGGCAAAGTATGCAAAATAATCACAACAGACAAAACAGATCACCAAATAACTTGTACACAATAGACCATAAAAAGTAACACAGACAGATATTACATGTATTACACTGCCCCAGACAGAAACATGTTAGAAAATCATAACGAACAGACACATCATATCATACAATATCTGTGCGAAAATTGCACAAAACGCAATTATTAGAGTACAATGTACCACCACCGCTACCACCCAAGAATACAAGAAATCATTTTTTGAGAAAGATTTCAGCCTTCCTCTTCTTTGCATTTGTATCTTTTTCTGCACGCAGAAGATCATTTCTTTGTTTGCACAAATTATTCAGGACTATGTTTGCTGCACAGTTCGCAACCAGCCCGACAAGCAGCTCATAGTTGTGCCCGTTCTCACACGTCGAAATGTCTTCAAGCCTTGACAGAGAGCGTAGTGTCAGTTCTCTAACAACATTCCTTTGGTTGGACCCATGGAAAAACTGTGTGCAGCTGTTTTGTGCGACAAGCTTTTTTACCACAACCTCCGTGTGCATGACCACTGAAATTACTAGGGCTGAGGGAAACTTAAGACCACCTCGGTCTAACTGCTTGATTAGCGAATGAGTGTCTTCTTCGGGGTCGGCGTCATGTCCATTAAAAACTAGGTGCTCTCGGCAGCTTTCGCACTTCAGAACTTTTAAAGCAGCATGGGCACAATACCCACCGACATAGGCAATGACTGGCATTCGTGCTCTCAGTTCATCAAGGTCAACATCATTAACAGGAATGCAAAGGGAGCTGCCCACACCTTCGACAGTGTTTGTGTCTTCAATGCCCTTGAGGTCATTGGCACTCATCATTGGTAGAGCACTTTGAAGGCGAATCCTGCCCTCTGTTTCACACAGCTGCCGAACAGATATATGGTACTGTCCACCAGCCATTTGTCTGTACTGTCCAAAACGACTCTCTAGAGGATCCGTCTGGACTTTTCCTAACAGAATGTAGTTGAAGTGAAGCTCATCTATGCAATACTTTGCCAGCGCCAAAAGAGACTGAGCAGACAGCCTCAGGGCGCTCAACGTTTCCGGGGTGAGCACACCAGTGTCATGCCCGTAGAATTCCCAAACGTCGAGCCATGTGATCAATGAACTAAGAAAGGCTAGTTTTGGGTCATCAGTAAGGCATGCCATCGGCTCTTCATAAACATTACGATGGTGGAAGCCTTTCTTTGGTGTCTTCACGTTGACAATACTCCACCAACGTAGAATGATTTTGATGAAGTCTGCTGTTGCTTTAGCATGCTGAAAATCAACTTCACCACTACGGGTTGCCAGGGCTTCGGTTACATGTGGATTAAAAACCTGCAGTACCAATTTAACATTCTGGCGCTCCAAGCTGCTAGGATTAAGCGCTTTTGATGTCAAACCATAACCAGACTTCAGCAGTTGACCCGACTCCTCTTTATGCAAATCTCTCAAGTGCTTAAATGATGCAGTCATCTTGCACTCAGGACGAACGTTGTTGTCTGAAAGCTCAAAGCATGGGTAGAAAAAGCACGTCCCTGAGTTTTTCTGGTTAATCCAGTTGTTTCTAATGCACTTAAGGAGATGCACAGCATCTACCACGTAATACAGTGGTCGAGATGGGTCTGCTGGGTGTGGATAAACAGGGCTGAGTTTCGGCTTTTGCAAAAACGCTTTCATTGCTTTCCTGTTGAGTGCATTATTGTCACAGACGATTGCCACAACTCTGTACCCGATTTCCTCTAAGCGCAAGATAACCTTCTTCAGGATGGTGTGAAGCTCATCGCCATGTAGGGTTTTTACTGGAAGAATGTGCGCCACTTCCTTGAACGAGCTTAATAGACTTTGTATCATGAAAACGTGTACCGACGTTGCTGCCTCGTTGGAATTGACTGCAGTGCCACATATGTTTCCACCTTTATAATCAAGACAAGGCTTGATATGAATTTCATCCAGCATCAATGTCACAGTGTGTTCATGAGGTTCTAGATGCTTGAACCTCTGTGCAATATACTGCAGGAAAGTGAAATCTGAGGACTGGATTTCTGGGCACATTTGAAAAGACGAACATACACTTCTGATCGTGCTTGGATGAGGCAAAGTGAGCGTACTTGTCTTCCTCAAAAACTTATAGGCGTGTGGTGATATCGTGTACAGAATGCATGCAAATACCATCACCTGAGTGCTGTAACGAATGCATCCTTTGCAAAGCAGCAGCAGCTGCTCCTTCAAAAATTTCACGGCCTCTTTCTTGCCTTCACTAACGCTTCCTTCCAGTTTGTCTAGAAGGGCAGTTACCGCACCCAGCAAGTGACGAAAGCTGCAACCTTCATCCGAAAGCATACACAGGTTGTCCAAAATATTCAGCAAGGAACTTACGTCACGCACTGAGTCTGGTACAACACTGCTTGCAAACCTCTTGACCGGTGCTCCTTGATAGCAGGCAGAGACTTGAAGGTTCTCAAACACTGTCAAAGATGCCTTCAGCCAAGGTTCACACTCGTCGACTATGTTCAAAAACATTGTGCACTTTTCTTGATGTATAACAGTCCACTTCACCGACACCGATGCTACTTGCAGGCACGCCTTTAGTTCTTCGAGCGTCGAAAAGCGGTGTCTCTCCTGTTCCACTTCAAAGGACGCCGCTGATTCTTCAAGAGCACGAGCGAGTTGGGATGCTTCTTGTCGGCTCTTTTTGGTATCGGGCGCATCTCTCGTGTTGGTTACGGGCTTCGAAAGATACGAAGGACAGGCGGGAAATATTTTCGGTACAGATCCAGGACGCAAGCGAGGCACTGGCAATGCCGCCTCAAGTACTTTTCCTGTCCTCGGATCCGTGTACGATGTGGTCCGCTCGATGCACGACGGGTCGAAGTGAACCGCGCACACCTGCACAAATGTGGAAAACGTTCGTAAACGGCTGAGCACCTAGTTCGTTGGAAAAATGCAATGCACTCCCTTTTGTACAGCCATAGTTACCATACGCGTTCGTATACGATAAACACTGCTACGCTTCGGAAGCATAAAAAGAAAGGCGCGGCACAAATATAATAACTAGCAGCATAAGAATATCAGCATAGAGGAAGCATTACCTTGGTGTATGAAGTTGGTACGAAGTCCTTCCTGGGAATAGCACGAATTCATTTCTTCAAAGTGTCGTCGTCTTTCGGAAAAGAGAACACTTGCTCCTTCTTCCCTGTTTTGTAGTTACTGGTGCACCTTGGCACACAACACTTGTTTGGCATCGTAATTTCAGCTCTGTATCACGCACAAGAACGAAATTGC